ACCTGGGCTGGGGAGCTACAGGAAGCTTGGAAAACCTGCACTTATTTATTTTCAACATTATGTGTTTCTAGGAAGGTGGTTCCTCAGAGGGGCTTAACCGGAATTCCACCCCAGTTACCTCTGCTGCCCTTCTGCCAGGAGACAGTGTAGTAGCCCTGCAAAAACCAAACAGGGATATTTCCAATCACTTTTTTGAAACTGTTCTACTAAAATTACAATGTGTATGTGTGTGGGAGTGTGTGTTTATGGAGGGTCTTCCATATCCATCTTATAGGAGAGATTTAGGTTTTATTTAGCAGCTAACATTTACCTTAGTATATGTACTTTATGGGATTATTTTGTGATCTTTACACCAGTCTTATGAAGTTGGTACTGTTATTAACCCCATTTTACAAACGAGGAAACTGAAGCACAGAGAAGTGAATTCAACTCTCTAAGGCCACGCAGCCTGTATATGGTAAAGCCAAGGGTGAGCCACGATTTGGAACTAAGATTTAAGCAAAGGAAATTTGTTTTTTAAAAAAATTTATTTATGTATTTATTTAGGCTGCATTGAGTCTTCGTTGTTGCGTGCGGGCTTCCTCTAGTTGCAGCGAGCGGGGGCTACTCTTCGTTGCAGTATGCGGGCTTCTCAATCCGGTGGCTTCTCTTGTTGTGGAGCACAGCCTCTAGGTGTGCGGGCTTCAGTAGTTGCAGTGCGTGGGCTCAGTAGTTGTGGGTCGTGGGCTGTAGAGCGCAGGCTCAGTAGTTGTGGCGCACGGGCTTAGTTGCTCCACGGCATGTGGGATCTTCCTCGACCAGGGATTGAACCCGTGACCCCTGCATTGGCAGGCAGATTCTCAACCACTGTGCCACCAGGGAAGACCCTAAGCAATGGGAAGTTAGAATCTGGTACGGGTGGGAAGGGCATGAAGGACACTGCTTTCTCTGGACCAGGAACCCAGGGCAAAAGGTACACAACCACCACCTGCAACCTGCCCAGGACATTCTAGCAGTTCAGAGGGAGTGTGAGGGCAGGGGCGAGAAATTCCAGGTTCCAGCAGCCACCAGGGTCCAGGCCAGACAAGGAGGCTGGGGGGCTAGGAGGCCTTTGTCCTCTAGCCCAGCTTCCTTGGAGCCCCAAGGAAGGGCTCTTGCCTGTGTGGGCCAGGGGGGCATTGAATCAGGCTGGGGGTAGCCTCCTGCCGGCTAGCTCCAAGGTCAAGGGGGTCGTGGTTTTAGATTGCCAGGGCGGATTTTGACCTCTTTCGCGTTGGAGGCCTGAACAGGATGAAGAGGCCCCGCTGGCACATCAGCCCAGTGGTGTGTCATTACTTCTGCCAACTGCTGGAAAGAAACAGGAAATCCGAACAGGACAGTGATTATGTTTTCTTTCCATACATTTTTAGTTTGTGTCCTTTTTGTCTAATACAAATAGCAAGTGAATAAGGACAAACCTAAATTTGCAGCCAAAACCGAAAGCATACCAGTCCCTCAGCAGTGTCTTCTCTTCATGGAATAACTCACTGCTCTTTTGTGTTGAGGAAAAGGGGAGGGTGTAAAGCAGGAATGAAAAATTTCCCAGAACCCCTCCACCGAGAGATAACCACTGTTATTTTCCAGCCTTCTTTTTTTTTTCTGTTAGACACAGTACTTCCCAAACTTCCAAAGTGAACTTGAGTGACCCCTGACAGCCTCTTGTTCAGAGACTGAAATGGTTTGTGCCAGCTGCTGTGGGACTTGCCATGCGGGGAGCCACCCAGCTGAACCTCTGCGCCGCCCACCCGCATAACTGAGTCTGAATGAAGCCACTCTTCTGGCAGATTGCATTTAAGGAATGTCCTAACTGAGCCCGGGGACAAAGGCCCCCTGGGCCCCAAAGCCTCTTTGTCTGGCCTGGACCCTGGTGGCTGCTAGAACCTGGGGTGCCTCGCTCCGGCCCTCCTGCGCCCCTTGAACTGCTGGAGTGCCCTGGGGGTCGAGTTCCTTTGGCCCTGGGTTCCTGGTCTCCAGGGGAACCTCCATGCCCCTCCCACTGCACCCTTGAGTAAGTTCTCCCACCGGAGTGCTGCCCAGGTGTGAGATATGTCCACTGCTGGGGGCTGTCTCTGGATGGTCCTTCCAGAGCTGTTAGCTGTGGGGACCTGAACTGTGGTCTGTCGCCCCTGGCCTGTCTTGTAATCCTTTTATTACAAGACAGTTCAGGAGGAGCCTTCCTTAGGCTGTGTGTGTGTGTGTGTGTGTGTGTGTGTGTGTGTGTGTAAGCCTTATGCTCAGCAGATGTTTTCCAAGCACTGACTTTAGAGCAAAGCACTGTTTAAGCACAGTGGGGGAAACCAAACCGGAAGATGTGGTCCCTACCTACACAGAGCCTTCAACTTAACTAGGGACCAAGGACTTGCGTTCATGGGACAAATAGAAAATAAAGACGGGAGAATCACCAAGTAATAGTCCCTGTGCTGTTGGACTGGATGGACAGGTGGTGCTTCTGGGCAGGCTGAGGCAGAGAGGAAGTGGCCCTTGGCAGGCGCCTGGCCTCTCTTCCTCGCTGTGCTTGGTTTGATGTCTTTGGTGGTTAGTATGTGAAATTTCTGAGGGGCCCTATCTGAGCGGCTCTGGTTCCAGTTGGCTTCATAGCTGGGGGTTGGAATTCTGCTCTTGGGGAGGTTTGTTCCATCTGAGAGGTCACCAGTGAGCAACTTGAGTTGTTTTTCCAGTAGTGCAAGCCACAGCAAAGCATCTGTCCCATCTCTTCAAGCCCGCACAGATGATCTGGGAATGCAGAGGGCGGCCTCTTCTTGGGGATGTGTTTTAAGTGATGAGACTCCAAGATAGGTGAGAAAAAGCAGATCTTGCAAAAATGATGACAAACTGACCTTGAAGGTCAGACTCAGCAGGGAGAAGCGCAGTCACAGCGCTGGTAAATGGAGCACAGCCCTCTCCCCCTCGCCATTTCTTGGAGATGGAAATAAAGAAAAACTCCTGGAGTATTTATCCTGGAGAAAGTTATTTACGTTTCTGGCTCAGTCTCCTGAGGTCCAGGCAGGCGGGATCAATGACAGCCCACCGGAGGAGTAGCCTGCAAATCTTTTGGGTGCGGATTACCAGTGATAAGAGTTCCCACTTGTTTAAGCAGGACAGGGAACTGAGTTCAGTGATGTGTAAACACAGAGACATCTTGGTTCTTGCCTTCCACACCCTCACTGTCCAGAAGGGAAACGATGTTAGGAGGAAAAAAAAGGTATTTTCAAATGTATCTGACTTGATATGACAAGCATGAACCTAGAAAGTTCTCCATGTGAAATCAGAATTGAGTTATATAGCAGCACTATGGAAACTTGTTTTTTAAGAGCTCATAAGTAATTTTATAAAGTAAAAAGACTTTTCATGAAGCAATCATTACACCTTTATCTCTGTGGTTCATCACCTTGGCTGCATAGTAGAATCACCTGGGAAGCTTTGAAAACTCCTGAGGACCAGACCACACTCAGAGCAATTACAGCAGGAGCTCTGGGGGTGGACCCAGGCATCAGGAATTTTTTTTAAGTCCCCAGTTGATTCCAATATGCAGCCTTTGTTGAGAAGCACCACTTTATCTTTTGTATGCATGGCCCTGAGTGGTCTTCCATTCGGTGTCCTGAAAGCAGGAGTGCCCTTGAAAGTCAGCAGGAGGGTGCCTTCAAAAGCATGAGAAACTGGGGTGAGGACACAGGAACCTGCTGTGTCTGTGCAGAAGCACCCAGCAGAGATCTCTTAATTTATGGAGACATATGGGCTTCCTCCAGCCGTAGGATGGAATACTGCACAGCAGTCAAAAGGAACAAACTTCTCATACATGTAACAACAATGGATGAATCTCAAATGCCTTATGTTCAGTAAAAGGAGCCAGACTCCAGAGGTTCTGCAGGGTGCCAGGGCCTGGGAGTGGAGAAGGGGTCACCTGCAGAAGGGCACAAAGGAACTTTTTGGGTGATGGAATTGTTCTGTATCTTGATTGTGGTGGTAGTTGCCACAGCTGAGTGTGTTGGTCAAAACACTAGATTTTTATGCAGTAAAAACAGAGGATGTTGCTGTATGTAAGTTATAGCCCAATTAAAAATTATTTTTGTTTAAAAAAACCCACTTCCTCATTGATGATGAAGGGACAAACAGAATGTGGTATATCCATACAAGGGAACATTATTCAGCCATAAGAAGGAATGAAATACCATACATGCTACAGCATGGATGAACCTTGAAATCATGGTGCATTGTGAAAGAAGCCAGGCTCAAAAGGCTACATATTATATGATTCCATTTACATGAAATATTCAGAATTGGCAAACCTACAGAGTCAGAAAGCAGATTTGTGGTTGCCACAAATCTGGGGGAGGAAAGAATGGAGAGCGACAACCTAATGAGTTTATGTTTCAGGTGATGAAAAAGTTCTGGAACTAGGTAGTGGTGGTGATGGTTGCATGGCATTGTAACACTGAGTTGTAAGCTTTAAAGTGGCTAAAGTGGTAAATTAATGTAAAGTTATGTGTGTCTTACCGCCATAAAAAAAGAAAGAAAGAAACCCACTTCCTATCAACCTGCCAGGCACATACCCATCGGTACATCGGGTACTTGGTAAAGGCTGACTTGGCATTTGGCATTTTTAGAGAAAGGGGGATTGGGCCTCCTAAAAGTGGGGGGAGGTCTCCTTTTAGGTGGAGTAAAGGGGCATGTTTTCCAAAAGCTCATTCTTGAGAACTTGACGGTTCTCTATGACCAGGATGAATCTACTGGCATTTTCTGCTCCTCATTGCAACCCACCTGATGCTGTTGCTTGTCACAGAAACTTTCACCAGCTTCATAACTTTGGTTGGTGCCCAGCAGTCGGGTTCATGCAAATAATATGCCCTGGGCTCAGTGTTCGGAACCCCGTTGGGGCAGGGAGGGGGATGCGTGTCTTTATACTTAAAAGAACAGGTCTGCTTAGTTTCACGTTTGGAAGGAAAATCACCCTCAATCATGGGTCTTCAGCAAACGCAGCTGAATAAATAAAACTGTGTGTGTAAAACAGCAGGGGAATCACGAGAAGCAGCTTTTTTGGCATGTTGGGAAGACATTTATGGTTGGGAACCTAGTGACCAAAAAGCAGGACTGCCTCAGGATGAGAAAAACTGGGGGAGGAGGTCATCTGGAGGCAGTGCTTTGCCGGGGCCGAGGGCGATGAATCGAGCAGTTGACCCGTCCAGCTCTGCGTGGGCCTTGCAAGTCCTGAACAAGAATCTTATTGATGATTTGTCAGTCCGTGAGCAGACAACTCTGAACTTTAACAGAGCCAGGATGGAAAGCCTGCACAAGGGCCTACAGTTTCCACGATGAACAGCACACTTATTTTTCCCTCCCTCCGCTGGAGGTTGAGGAAGAGACCAAAATGAGCAATGTGGGGGTGATGGGGGAAGGGAATTGGGACAAGTGCGTTCCAGAGCCTCAGTGAAATGGCCGCATTCCTCCCAGGGATGGCCCGTCCCTCCGAGCTCTAAGGGCTTTAAAATGTCACCAGGGTTGGCGCAAGTTGGGGCCATGCTTTTATTATTCCCAAGAGCCTGAGCTCTCGGTTTCCCCTGCTTTTCCAAAGTTTGCTTCGCGCCACTTGGCTTTGATGAAAGGCCTACGTGAATACCTGCTTGCGCTAACTGAAATCTATCCAGAGAGGAGCTTCATTTTTCCAGAAAAAGACAGTAGCTGCTTCACTTTATTTCTTTTCAGGTTACGAAAGTTTTCACAGGAACGCTGTCCTTTGGGCTAGCGGGGGAACCTGTAGCTGGACCCCAGGGGGTATGATGACAGGAGCATCACTGACCTCTGATGTGCTTAGCGCCTTGTCAGAGGCCCAAACCTACGAAGGCTGACCCTTGTCCAGAAAGGGCTCAGGCCTAGCCCAGAATACAGACCTGGCACAGACTGAGACAACTGAGAACAACTGACTTTGACAGTGAGGAATCTAGGGAAGAGCTGGCAAGAGAGCTGAGTGTCCTCGGTCATGGCTGCGGGCGGCTCTGTGGAGTCGGGGCCTGGACAGAGCTTGAAGGATGATGTGGATCCAGAGAGGAAGGGAAATGACCTCTGGGTTTCATGACTCCCTCTGCTTCCCGGTCCTGCGTTTCTTCAACCCTGGTGCGTACCCTTCACCTGACTCAGCTGTTTTAGAGGAAAAGGAGGGTATCTGCTTCCTCAGCACTCCCCCTCTTCCCATCTTTCCCATCGGCCTAGCCCGTCAGTTCCCCAGCAGCAGGGAGCACAGATGCCCAGTTAACTGCAGTGTCCTCAGGCCTGTGTGTCTGATGGTATTCCGCAGCTCTCAGCCACCCGTGGGCATCTTCTCTTACAGTCTCCACATCTAATGGCCCATGGCTGCTACCTGTCACGTGTCTCAAGTCCAACCCCTCCATCCCATCCCCTGCTACCTTGGGAAGCAGAGGCCATGATCCGGGTCAACCTCTCTGACTTCCCCAGGGCGGTCGGCAGACAGCAAGTACTTGGACTTGTTCACGGTTGGACTTGAACCCCAGTGCCGCTGTTAACGGCAGATGTGACAGAGTTAGGTTGTAATCCAGGCTCAAGAGCCCATTCCCCCCACTGTGCACTTGCAGAGTGCTTGGGAGAATTGGAGGTGGGGGGGTGCAGCGCCCTGCATGGCCCCAGCCGCTGTGATTGGGTGACACCCTCATCTTCCTCAGCTGAGCTAATGCAGTCGTCTCACTGGCCTCCTTGCCTCCCCTTCCTGTCCCCTGGTCCCCTTCCACCGTCCTCCCCACAGCTGGCAGAGCTAGCCTGCTTGAAGAGCAGCATAGCATGGCCTCCTCCACTGCATTGCCCAGAAGCCCTGCAGGATGAGGCACGAACTCCCTAGCAAAGCAAATTAAAGCCCTTATGATCTGCCCACAGGATCTAAGTCTGCAGTTCTGGCCGCAGAGCCCACTTTCTCTCCTTCATGGCCCACCCACCCTGCCCCCATGCTCTGAGTGCCCTGATACACAGAGCTACTCGTGGTTTCTCAGACACCCCGTGTGCTTTCAGCATCTGAGTCTTCTTCTGAGCATCATTCCCTTTTCCTGAAATGCCTCTGCCTCTTCCTGGTGAGCTCCTATTCATCCGCAATGGCCAGCTTATAAATTCATCTCCCTGATAACCCCGAAGTTTGTCTCTTTCCTCGGTGCATTCCTGATCCTTGGAGATGTCCCTGGATCACTTCTCTCCTGTGTATTCACTGGTGCCCTATTTCCAGGCATGGGGCTCCTGGAAGTGCAAGGGACCCCATCAGGTTCACCTTTGTCTCCCCAGAGCCAGGCATTGATGCTTTTCATCCTTTGGCTTGGTATGTATCTGCTCACATAAAAATAAACAAGGCTGTTTTTCAGGAATCAGGCAGCTTTTGGGAATAGCTGAGGATGTGGAAACAAGAGACACTTAAAGTTCTCGTGTTTTTTCTTTGTTAGCAGGAGTAGCAGCAGTAACAGCTCAGTGGAGTTCAGAAGGTCAGGAAAAATGCAGCTTGAGATCCTAGTTGTTTTGCAAGGCCCTTTCACTTTCCTTATCCACTGTAGCTGAGTTCAAGCCTCAGAGTCATTTATCCTTTGTTTTTCCCCAGTTTGACTTCTTTTTTTTTTTTTTCTAGTGTCTCATTTTAATTCACTTGTTTCTTTTTTTTTTTTTAATTGTATTTATTTATTTTTGGCTGCGTTGGGTCTTCGTTGCTGTGCAGGCTTTTCTCTAGTTGTGGCGTGCGGGGGCTACTCTTCGTTGCGGTGCGCGGGCTTCTCATTGCGGTGGCTTCTCTTGTTGCGGAGCACGGGCTCTAGGCACGTGGGCTTCAGTAGTTGTGGCACACGGGCTCAGTAGTTGTGGCTCGTGGACTCTAGAGCGCAGGCTCAGTAGTTGTGGCACACGGGCTTAGTTGCTCCGTGGCATGTGGGATCTTCCTCGACCAGGGCTCGAACCCGTGTCCCCTGCATTGGCAGGCGGATTCTTAACCACTGCGCCACCAGGGAAGTCCCCCCGTTTGACTTCTTTAAGCTCATTGCTTTCAGCCTGTTGAGTTTCTGCAGCCAACTGGAAACTCATGAATAACTGTTCAAAATCAAACAAAACCAAACAGAAAACAACCTAAGGCCTTATTCTACGAGGGCCTCTTCCCAGAAACCTTCCAGCCTTAAACCTATCGTCTCATATCAGCTGCGAGACTCTTGACTCTTTGGTGGTGCGCCCTGGTCTGTTAATCACTTCACCTGTGCTCGTCTTGTCCCGCCAACAAGCTTGCAAAAGGCAGGAGCCACGCCATCCAGGTCTCCTTTCCGGTTTCCCAGTAAGTTGAGGCTGAGGGCCCAGCTGAGTGCTGGGCACACTGTGGGGTCTCGCCGGATGCTGATTCGGTGGGCTCTGGGGGCTTTTGCTGGTGCTCTTTCAAAATTCACTGTGTTAAGAGTTTAATCAATTTTAAGTAAACTGGGCAGAAGCCACTGGCCTCTTGGAGATTCCCTGGGGTGTTCTTCTCAATACCCAAGGACGGGGCAGGAGACTCTGCTGTTGGTCCATGGCTCTTTCCCAAGCAGAACTACCTAATGTGGCTTCTTTCTTGCCTCTCCTTGGCTATCACTTAACCATCTGCTCATCTCTTCTCGGGCAGAGATGAGGGCATCTTCCGTCCTACCTCTAGGCACACGGGCCAACACGTACCACATGCAGCATTTGGGCCGCTGGCTATGTGAAGGTGTCTTTTACCTTCACTTGGCTTTCGACAAGCCAGAGGGGAAGTGACACGTAGACTTCTGTGGGACCCGCTTGATTCTTCATCCTTTACCAGGACACTGAAAAGGGAGAGAGGCGGTTTCTCTGCTGTTTCTCTCTGCAGGGGGAGAGCGCTCTGACCTACGACAGGCGGCACCCACTCATCTGAGCCAGCAGGCTGTTTGATCTGACAGTCACATGCGCTGGTACTGTTATCACTGCTCTCTTCCGAAATAAGCATCCTCATTCCCCGTTCCCTTCCTCCAACTCTCTCCCGGTCAGTGGCAATATTCATTCCAGGGAGTTTGGTTTTTCAGGAATGGAGTCAGAGGCTACTACCCCACTGAGAGCCAAGGGGGTGTTTGAACAGAAATAGGACACTGGGCTCTCCCTTAGAACCAGGGGAGTATAAGGGCTTCTATAGTGAGGGGGTTAGGGGATAGTCAGGGGCTCTGGTTCAGTTCTGGGGCGCCAGGCCTTTGGGGGATGCTGGAAGAAGGCCCTACATGGAGGCATCAGGTGGGGTGTTGCCAAGAGCTCAGCCTTGGAGTCAGGCAGCAAACCCAGCTCTCTGTCATGGGCCATGTGGGCCGTTATGGGTCTTCTCTGGGCCACCAGGTCCACATCTGCAAAATAGGCATAATGTTGCTTACCTCCTAGAGTTCTTGTGAGCTAGTAGGTACCTAATAACTTTATTCATTCATTTATTCATTATTTCCATAAACATTCATTCAACGCTTATAACAGCGTGAGGTGCCAAAGATGCAAGACAGGTGTGGTTCTGACTCTCACTGAGCTAACAGACTAGACCAGGATGAGAAAGACAAAAATACACATTAAAAATGAGCAAATAAATAAAACTGTTATTCATTGTTGATATTGTTCATTTTAAAATCTTATTTAAAAAATACTGTGTATTCAAAAAATATTGTATATTCATATTGCTAGTAAGTTGTGATTAGGGCTATGAAAGCAGGAGATAGATGCCGAGTTAGAAAATGATAAGAAATATCTAGTATGGAGAAGGTGGTCAGGGAGGGCTGCTCTGAGGAGGTGACCTTCCTTTCCTTCCTCTCCCTTACATGGTAGGGTAGGGAATGTTACAGTGCAAGGTTTTGGTTTTTCTCTGAAGAGGAGCTTAGAGACGAATGCTACTGGTGGAGAATAAGAAATAACTAATGATGTCACAGGATGGGAGGAGACGATGATGACAAAGCTCTTTGTGTGGTTAGCATAGCATTTCACAAGCATGGCTGTGAAGAGCTTCACAGATTTTGTCTTTTACACCAACCTTGTGAGATGGGCAGGGCCCACACAGTCTTCTCCACTTTACAGATTAGGGAATGAGCTTGGAGAGATGTGACCGCTCAGAGTTCCAGCAGCAGGTGGTGGAGGGCGGCTCTGGGCGTCTTGGCTGCTGTCTTGGAAGGAGGGCCCTCAGTTGTGGCCCCTAGCATTACATTTAGACCCATGCTTCTCAGTGTTGGCTGCATATTGGAATCACCTGAGGAGGTTTAAGACCTAATAACTCCTGGGTCTCACTCCCAGAGATCCTGATATCATCAGTCTGGGTGCGGCTTAGACATTAGGAGTTTTAAAATCTCTCCAGGTGATTCCAATGCAGCCAGGGTTGGAAAGCATTGTTTAGACCCTCAAGGAGCTGCTGCCATTAACGAGCACGTTCTGGAGAGCCAGCTGGGCAGGGAGCGCCAAGGTGAGGACCCCGGCAGGGAATGCCGCATCCTGTTCTTAATAGAGATTTAGGTCATTAACAATAATAACAACAACAGTAATGGGGAAGGCCCTGCACCTAGACTGTTGCCCGCTGCACTGATGTTTCTGCAATGTACTTCCAGCTAGAAATTGGCCAGTGCTTCTATAACAGTGGCCCTTGAGAGAGGCGTATTTGACAACTAGATCCGAGGCACCACAGCCCTTAACCAGCTTGGGAGTGACGCTGGCCTAGTGGCAATTGAAGTGGCTCAGTCACTGAAGAATCTCAGGGAAAGGTTTCGTTTGTCCAAGTGTGGCTTTTGATAGGTTGTCCATACTCCTGCGGGGACAGAGTAATCACTGTTTCATCTCCCTGAAGTGACTCTGTGTTTCCCCATCCTTGGGGAAAGGATTAACAACTGGGTCAACCACAGCATTTCTTTTGACGGTTGCGGGTCTGATCTGTGTTCAAGTTCCCCAGACACTGAGCTGCTTTGATTGACCTTTATTAGGGATAAAATCCTGTTTCCAGATTCTCACAGCCTGATAGACTTGATTGGACCACCTTGGCCACTGTCACTCCAGCAAATGGTAGCCCCGCAGCTTTGGCCGAGGTTGTCCATCTCGAAGCCAAGGGCCTGTTTGCCTCTCCCCAGCGACGCTGGCACTGGGAATTGCACCTATTGGCTGGGCCCCCATGTGCTGCCTGGCCTCACCCTGGACCCCTCCCCTCAAGACCGGAGGGTCCGTCATGGGATGTTGTGGGATTGGAGGTGTGTCTGAGCTGGGCCTTTGGAGAGAAGGCAGCTGCTATAAGGGATTCTTCTGTTTTCTGTCTCTAGCCCTAGAGCAGTTGCTGACAGAGCTGGATGACTTCCTCAGGATTCTTGACCAAGAGAACCTGAGCAGCACAGCTGTGGTGAAGAAGAGTGGCCTGGCCGAGCTCCTCCGGCTTTACACCAAAAGCAGCAGTGAGTGTGGCCGGGGCCTTAGTAAAGAGGTCCCCGTGGAAGCAGGACGATGGTTGTTCGTGTGTTACAGCTGCCATAATGACACCCCACAGACTGGGTTGAACAACAGAAATGCACTTTGTCACAGTTCTGGAGGCTAAAAATCAGGATTGGTTCCTTCTGAGGCCTCTCTCCTTGGCATGTAAATGGTCCCCTTCTCCCTGGGTCTTTACACCATCTTTCCTCTGTGTGAATGGCGGTGTCCAAATTTCCTCTTCCTATAAGGACACCATTCATACTGGATCAGGGCCCGCCCCAGTGGCCTCATTTAATGTTAATTATGTCTTTAAAGACACTTTCTCCAAATACAGTCACATTCTGAGGTATTCAGGGTTAGGACTTAATTCATGCATTTTGAGGGGGACATAGTTCAGCCCGTAACTATAGTGCAAGAGTGACGGGACGTGTATGGCAGCCCCAGGAGTTTCTGAACACTCAACACAGTAGCCCACGAAGAGCACTTTTCCTTATGGTTGAAAGTAGAGAAGGGATAATAAACTGGTATAATCATAGCTAATGCTTAATTGAGCACGTCCCGCCTGCACATGTATTGCTCGGGCTTCATCTTCAAGACACCCCTGTGGGGTTGGTGCTGTTATTACAGATGAGGAGACTCAGGCCTGGAGAGTGTAAATAACTTGCCCAGTGTCATACAGCCCAAGGGAAAACAGGAAAACATTGTTTTAAGACTTTGTAAATCACAGAACTGTGAGTTCATTGGTTTTCTATCTTCTTAATTGAGCTAGATTTTGTATCCAGTCGAGTACCCAGATCTTCAGGAGTCAGTTCAGTGAGTTTGTTTGTTTTTTTTGGGGTGTTTTTTTTTTTTTTTTTTTTTTGCAGTACGCGGGCCTCTCGCCGTTGTGGCCTCTCCCGTTGCGGAGCACAGGCTCCGGACGCGCAGGCCCAGCGGCCATGGCTCACGGGCCCAGCCGCTCCGCGGCATGTGGGATCCTCCTGGACCAGGGCACGAACCCGCGTCCCCTGCATCGGCAGGCAGACTCTCAACCCCTGCGCCACCAGGGAAGCCCAGTTCAGTGAGTTTTGACAGCTGTATGCACCTGTGCACCCACCACCCAAACTAAGATGTAGAACATCTCTATCATCTCAGAAAATTCGCTCTTGCCCCTTCCCAGGGCAAGAATTCCTCCCTAGCCCCACCCCAAGGCAACCATTTTTCAGATTTCTACCACCATTGATTAGCGTTGCCCGTTCTGGAGCTTCCTGTAAATGGAATTGGGTGGTTTGTGCCTTGGGTCTGGCCCCTGTCACTCCATGCTGTGGACTGTATCAATAGTTCCTTTTATAGCTGAATGGTATTCCCTTCTGCGAATATACTGCAATCTGCTCATCCATTCACTGTTGATGGACATTTGGGTTGTTTGCAGATTTGCGCTAATATGAATAATAAAGCTGCTTTGAACAGCCTTGTACAAGTCTTCAGTGGACATACGGTTTCATTTCTAGCACAGGTGTGTTTTTTTTTTTAAAGAAACACCTTCTTGTGAAGTCGTAACAGTTTAGTCGAGTTTATTTTTATATCGGATGTTTGAGAATTGAAAGTGATATTTTGGGGACAGTAAGGGGACAGTAAGAGGACATCTAATCCATCTGTCTCACGGTAGGAATAGCCCAGATCCTTGCCAGGGAGGGAAGTGCACCTTCTTTGGCCATCACAGTCAGGGACTCCTCCCTGACATCCAGCCTGCGTCCACTGGGCTACGTTTCAAAGTCCCTTTTCCCTTTTTTTTTGTTCCCTGTGGAATTAGTTCCTATTGTCTGAATATCAGAGAAGTCATAAAGCTGAAGCATGTTGCTATATGCCCGGCAGCCTTCTCTTCTGTCGGCATAATCTGGCTCCCTTAGCCTTTCATCAGAGCGGTTTTACGGCAGCCCCTTCATTGCCTTTGAGCTCTACAGGCTCCTCCTAGCTTTGTAGTGAGCATCTGCTGACCTGCCTTGAGTGCTGGTCAGTAGCACATCAAAGGTGGGATGAGCAGATGGGAAATCCCCATTACAAAGCAGGTAAGTTACAGAGGGATGAATCACTCCACAGAAGGACTCATCAGTGGAATTCTTTAAAGAGCACACTCCCAGGCCATTTAGATGTGCTCCAACCTGAGAATGTTTAATGATAAAGAACACCTTTGTTGGGAATTGAGAAACGCCCCTGTGACGGCGTCTGACCTCTGGTTCTTGGTTCTCACCACTCCATCAGAGCTCCCGGTGTGGGGTCCCCTTTGTGGTCTAGTGTGGCTTCCTGTAGGGTGACCTCTGTTTCACCTTTGATGTGTGTATGTTCTGCTCTCATAAAGTCAGACCTTCCCCACCCTTGGTCTCTGCAGCTTGTAGGGTTGCAGGAGCTGCTGAGAGCAGGTCGGGGGCCCCCGGTGTGAATTGCCCCCAGAGCACACCCAGACCACCGATAAAATGCGCATAGCCGTACCAAGGCCTTTGGCTGTCACTTCTGTTCTCCAGGTCAGTGCTCACGGATGAATAGCCACTGTTTGCAAACTTCCCCTCTGGTCCTCTTTGCACCCTCTCGGATGGCAGCTCACACTTTCTGTGCTCTTACCATTTCCCAGCCCGGTGCTTAATGAATGAAATGACTTGGATTATGTCATCTAACCCCGTCCCAAGGCAATGAGGGAGTTGCTGTCCCCATCTTACCAACAAGGGAACTGAGGTTTGGAAAGTTACTTTAGGCACATGGCCATGCGTGGCAGAGCCCAGGCTTGGGCCTGGGCCAGCAGACCTAACCATTACGCTCCCCTCCTCTCTCCACGGTCCAGATGAGTCTGTACCAGGTTAATTATGCTGCACGGGATAGAACCCAAAGCCCCTTAAATTGAACGCGTTGGTCGTTTTCTCTCAGCTTCCCATGCCTGCCTCACTGTGTATCTTCCAGAAAATTAACTCAGCCTGATGGGACTTATAGGTGGAGGCAGGATGATCATTTCAAGATAGGCTGTGGTCTCCACTGGCTGAGCTGTTGTTTACTTCAACACATTTGGGGCAGAGCATGAGTGTGTGTGTGTGTGTTTGCACTTTTCAAATGGAATTTTCTATTTTCTGATATTCAGTGTATTACTGAATTTTCCACTCTCTTTGCCTTTTGTCTAGGTGGTAAGGTCAAGACATGGATTGAGGTCTGTTTATTGGGGGCCCGATATTTTTTCCTGTCTTAACCTTGTGGGCCCCCCAGTACCCTGCTCAGAGACTCTGGGGACATTTCAGGGCTGTCCCTGTGATGGGAAATGCTTCAAAAGTTCAGTCTATGCAGCTGTAGTAAGAGGATCCGGGCCCCTCCTCCCTACCCCTTGCCACCACCCTCTTCAGACAAGGGTCGTTCCCCCAGGATCCACACACTTGCTCAAAGCACGATGAGCTCTCCTTTCCACCGTACCTGTAGCTGCTGTCATTTCCCACATACCTGTGCGACTACCCCATCTGGGTCTGCCCCCTCTCCCTCTCCCTCCCCTGCCCCCGATCTGGTGAGTTCACAACGGCAGAGACAATGTCTGTTTTGTTCTCTGCTGTATGCCCAGCACCTAGTACAGGGCTGGTGCTCAGTGCACTTCTGAAAATGAATGAGACAATGATGGAAATTCTCCAACCCGAGGCTGCTGCCTCCCAGACCTGGGACAGCTCATCAGGCTTCTCTTTCCAGGGCCAAGTTCACAGGATTGCAGATGGTCCTGGGAGCCTCTTACTTACCAACTGGATGGTAGTGGATTAGCAACACTGAGAATCAACACCTAGTCAAGTATGGCCTGCAGAGTGTCCAAGGAGGGAGACGCAGCCTCGTGACACGGCCAGTGCCAGCTTTCTCTGCAATTTACAAATCACCATCTTGGGGGGGAAGCACCTGCTCAGAGTCTAACAAAACAATAACAATATCTTGCCTTTTCTTTTGTATGGGAGTGTGGGCTTAGTTAACAGTATGAAAAAAGAAAAGAATGTGAAATGAACGTCAAACACTATTTACATTCCTTCACTTCCTTTTTTGATCTTTATCGGTGTCATCGGGATATTTTCATGTAGCTGCGGTTTGCCTCTGTATTCTGCTTTGCATTATTTTTACATTTAGAATTGCTGCCTGTGCACATTTCCCTATGTTGACAGTTCGCATACTTTTTCTTTCTTTCTTTCTTTTTTTTGCTTTTCTGAAACATGATCCTTTAACTGTAATTTTTGGATATCTTTGTAAACAGCAGACATAGAGCTACTTTGTTATTTTTCACAGGTGGGTAGTGTCCATCGATGGATGAACAATAATGTTCAACCAGCCCCCTATTAGTGGGCATTTAAGTTTTGTTCTTTAAAAAAAAAAAAAAAAAGAACTCATAATATTGCAGTAAACACCCTCAAATAAAATTTTGTTTACATGCTGGAGTTTATCTTCAAGATAGATTTCTGGCAGCGGAAATGTTGGGTTACAGAATATGAACACTTAAAATTAAATTATCCTCCAAGATCACTTCCAAAATGGTTGTGCCGGTAATCCATTTACTCTTAAAGGTGACCTGCTGTTACCTAAGTTGATGTGCCATGGTTTCTTTCACCATTTTCCTATTATTGAGCGTTTGAGTTATCTCCCATGTTTTAGGCTGTCTTTTTTTTTTTTTGCGGTATGCGGGCCTCTCACTATTGTGGCCTCTCCCGCCGCGGAGCACAGGCTCCGGACGCACAGGCTCAGCGGCCATGGCTCACGGGCCCAGCCGCTCCGCGGCATGTGGGATCCTCCCGGACCAGGGCACGAACCCGCGTCCCCTGCATCGGCAGGCGGACTCTCAACCACTGCGCCACCAGGGAAGCCCTAGGCTGTCATTTTTAATCTTTGTTAGTTACAAGGTTACCTTACTTTTTCAAATTCCCTAACGTTTGAGTTTTGTACATTTGAAAATTTCGGTTAGGTAGAACTAGGCAATATTTCATCACAATTATTTTCCATACTATGCAGGCAAGAGAACCAAGGCACACGGGTTAGCTGTTTTGCTCAGAATTACTGTTAATGGCAGAGCTTGGCCGAGGCCCCCCGCCCCCCATCCCCTACCCTGTCTCCTGCTTCCCCCTGCAGAGTGCTTGAATCCTGTGTCATGCTCTGGAGGAGGTACAGACCCAGCCCCTCAGTGGAGGTATGCAAGTTGTGGATAACTACGTTTAGACCTTGTAGTTCCCTCCGATAAGCTGCTGCGGCCCTTGGTATAGGGGTCACGTTGCTGACTGGTTCTGGCAGGGCTGGGCACCAGGGTGGCAATCCCACGGGCTGATGGAGGACGATCCATCCAGCCGTATCCTCCTCCTGTTCCTCTGGGTTCTCAGGGCTCTGTTGGCACAGGTCTGCCGGCTGGAGTCTAGGCAGTCTGTGGTGTGGAACTGGCTGGCGCTGAACTGCCTCCTTCGCCAGGGGTTTGAATTGGGCTCCTTGGCTCTGTAGCACCATCTCCAGCCACTGGAATTTATCAGCCGCAAGTTTCTAGGAAATGCAAATTAAGAGGCACAAAGAAATGCAGGAGGATTTCTAGGAGGAGAAACACTCAGATCAGTCTCCTCTGCAGGCTTCTGAAGAAAGGGTCCAAGCCTTTCTCTGCCTAGACATGCACGGGGAAGGTGACAGCCTGTACAGAAATGTTTTTAAAGGAGGGGAAGGGCTGTGCACTGCAGGTAGAGCAGGTAGCTGCTGGTCCTGCAGGTCCAAATCCCAGCACACTCCCCACTCCAAACCCAGAGCTCAGGCCCCCACAGTGGCACCTCACCTAGAGGCCTGGGAGCTAAACTTCCAGGTCCTGAATATGACCTATCTTATATAGACCTCACTCTGATTAGCCCATGAATGTAATTCAGACTAGGGTGAGAATGACTGATAGGAAATGTTTTACAATTTAAACAAAATGCTAGGAAACCCAGAGAAATCTCTGCTTGGTGGAATATGAGGCAGATCTTTAAGGTATGGGTGCTTTTCCACTTAAGCCTTTTATTCCCAAAGCTATCCTTCTGTACCCCCCCCTTCCCTTCCCTCCCCTCCCCTCCCTCCAGGCTAGAAAACTAACAGTCAGCAATTTGGTATTTCTTTTTTTGGAAATCTGTCAGCTCTTTCTACAATGGACTCTTTCAATCAACTCAAAATGTTGTATGCTTTTACTGGAATCCAGGCTGATGACAATGTCTCTGAGGGGTGGAGGGGACATCCTTTCTCTCTAGAGGCCCTTTCCCTTCATGAAATCACATGAAGCCTGTGTCTTCCATCCTCCTTCTGCAGGTTCTGATGAGGAGTACATTTATATGAACAAAGTGACGGTCCACAAGCAACAGGATGCCGAGCCCCAAGACAAAGGTACGCGTCTACCGCTGATGGAGTGGCCAGCTCCCAGGAAGGGGGCCAGTATAAGCCTTGGTCCCGTCCCACCCCTCCTTCCTCCCAGCCAGGACCACAGACAGGCCTGGTGGGGTTATTTTTGGAAGTCGCATTTTGGTTGATGCTATTTGGGGTTGATGTATTTTGGGATGTCTCATCAGGCCACCTCCTTGCCTCTTAAAGGTCTCGTGTCCCCTTCGTGGATAAGGATTCAGTCCCTAAAATCTCTCAGCGTTTGCCAGCATCGTCCCAGGAACAGGAAGTTATAATTCAGATGCTCTAAGAAAGCAGCTGTATAGGTGCTGATCCCACAGCCCCAGCTTTATGACTTTTGACAGAAGTCTGGATTTTATGAGTGTGTGTGTGTTGGGGGGGTGATGGCGAGGAGTCGGTGATGTCAACAGCTGCCTTAATATTCGATCGAAGGTTCTGTTCAAAGGTGATCGCTTGGCAGAACATCTTACCTTCCACTGGAAGGACAGGTGGTGTCTTCCATGGCGTCTCAATCTTCTCTGTTCTGCTCTCTGCTTTTGTCTGAAAACCCTCAGGAGTGGGTCCAGCAGGACCCCAGGGAGGCCCAGAGGTTTGCAGAGCTGCCTAGCTGCAGAGGAGAGGGGAGTAGAAGCCCCCGTCTCGCAGCTCTCAAGCCTGTGACTCAAAGGCAGAGGCTTCGCAAGAGGCGGGAACACAGCATCCCAAAACATTCAGTCCTGTTAAAGACTTGGCTTCAGGACATCAGCCAGCAAAGCCCCAGGGTCAGATCTGCCTGAACCTGTCTGTCCCCAGCTGGCTGGGCCACCTGCCGAAATGGTCAGGCTCAGAAGAGCCTTTGGTGCCTTTTCCTTAAAAGTGCACAGAGGGTTGGTGGCCAAGGTCCCCAGTGTGGCTTTCACCTCCTGCCCCACCACCAAGCGTGGGCTCAGCAGAAGTCCCCTGCACTAAAGCAGCCCCCGGGCCCTAGGTTGTTTGCCTTCCGGGGAAACCATGGGGTGGACAGAGGTAATCACAGGGTCCGTGCTGAGAGCAGCTCAATATAGTGACCACGGGCAGCTCCTCCACTCACTGAAGCTCTGTGGCCAGGGCATTTTGGACATGGGGCCGGTGGAGGAGAGGGTGCGGAACCTACCAGAAACCTCAAACCAGTTCCTCCTGAGGAAACTGCCCATGGCCGATCTACCCTATTCTTGGAGGAAAAACAACACTGGCTCCAGGGATCGCCTGCCTGGGTAATTAACACCTGCCCAAATAGAACTCGGGGCTCATGTGACCAGACATTCCTGGCTACTGAGACTCCACTGCAAGCCTGGGTGCCCCTCATCGAAGCCCTCTTCTGCTTGCTTCCCACAGCGCCCGAGGAGCAGAGCCCACTGACTAACGGCGAGCCCAGCCAGCACTCCTCGGCCCCTCAGAAGAGTCTTCCAGACCTCCCGCCACCCAAGATCGTAAGTGTGGGTCCGGGATCCCTCATTTCCCTGACTTGGGTCCCGTGAAGGTCCAATGCTTCTCGCAGGTGTCAGTCTACCAAGCGTCTGGCATTTTCGGAGCACCTGTTGTCTGTGGGGTCCGGGGCACCGGGAGGGACGGAGACAAGTAAGCGTGCTAGCAGGTGACATCATTTGCTCAGCGCAAAGAGGAACGGCAGTGTGAGATGAGGGTCCCTGTGTGTCCGAGGCTACGCCAGGCTCTTCACCAGCACCCCATGAGCGGGGCCTTGTACAGACATGGGCACCAGCTCAGGCCACAGTGACCTTTCAGAAATGTAAACCACATCACACCACTTCCTGCTTGAAACCCACCAAGAGCTCTCACTGGACTTGGGACAGAACATCCACATTCCTTCACGTGGCCCCAGGGCCTACACGGTCTGGCCCAGCTGCACCTCCAGCCTCATTGCATCTGCTCTTCACCAGCCTCCTTTCTGTTCCTGGGTTGTTCCCTGTGGTCAGTCCTGCCTCAGGGACTCTGCAGTCCCCGGGCCCTGGCCCCTCAAAGGCTGCCCCCTCCTCCTGTCTCAGACATTCTTAGACAGACTTTCCCTGACTTACCCATGTGAGGCATCCCACCTCGGTGCCTGCCCCCATTACTGCCTGCCACACCACCCAGTTACCCCTCCATGTTTATTATTTGCCTCCCAGAGTAGATGTAAGCTCCCTGGAACAGGGACTGTGTCTCGTTTACTGCTTCATGTCCTGTGTCTGCGCACAGTAGGCCACACGCATGTTTGTGGATGGATGGATTTATGGATTTATGGACTCCTACAGACTTGGGTTCAGATTCCAGCTCTGCCAGGTACTAGCTCCTTGACCTTGAGCAGGTTATTTAAGGTCTCTGGCCCTCTGTTTCCTGGTGTTTAAATGAAAGGAACGTACACCTAAGCTCCCCTTATTCAGGGGGCGTGGCAGACCACATTAGTATTCAGCGAGGTGAGTGGTAGTATTTACATCTTATGGGTGAAGAACCGAGAATCAGTGGGTTTATAATATCCCAGTGTCACACAGCCTTGAAGTGGCAGAACTTGAACCCAAGTTCTTTCCATGCTAGGATCTGGCTGGGAAGGATTTCTGGGACCGTGGGACTGCACGGTCACTGAGCTCCCACCAAGCCATCCATCTCCGGATCCGTAGGCTCAGGTCACCACTGAGGGGGTCCCGTCCCCAGACTGGCCCCTTCACTCATGCCTTCCTGGGGGCAGTACGGTTCTTCCCGCTGCTCTCACAGCTGGTAGGGCAGGCCTGGAGTGTCTGGGCAGCATCCCACTGCAGGAGCCCCTGGAGCTGGGTGACAGCTTGGCAGGGACCCTTCCTCTCAGGCTGACTGGGACTTGATGGACTGAGCATTAGTCCCTGGGTACCCCAGTATGCTGATGCCGTGAGTGACTGCCATGCTCTGAGCCGCTGCCCACTCCGGGCACACAAACATGTCCTCCCACCACCTGCCAAAAATCAGAGGCTCAGGGAGTTAAAACAACTGGCCACGATCCCACCACTGGGAGGTAGCAGGCCCAGGATTTGTATGCAGTTTCTTGGTTTCTGGGCCACTCTGCGGCCTCCCGGACTTCAGCTCGGCTTCTTAGCCAAGTAAAGGTACAAGTCGTGTCCCTTTCTGCTGCAGGCTCCCCTCACTTCTGGCGCCGGGACTTGGGGAGGGGGCATGGCCTCTCAGCTCCCATCCAGTTGCTGCTGGTTTTAAGCAGACGGGAGGTGTTGTGGTTTTCGGGTTACGCCCCAAGCACCCCTTGCCGGGTGGGGGGAAGGAGAGGTGGCTGCTCTGAGCCAGGGCTGCAGCTTTCCTAGCCTGAGTTCATGTGTGATTCTGACCAGGGTGCCTTTGGCCTCTGCGCAGTGGGGTGCCACTGCCCGGCCCACGTGGGGCAGCTAGCTGCTTAGGGCTCCACACCAGACGGGAGGGGCGTTCACCTGGTGGAGCCTCTTAGCGGTGACTCGCTCTGGAAGCCCGTGTTTGACGAACGTGTTGGTGGACTGGGAACCCAGGGTCTGGGGCCGGGTCGTGGTCACAGAGTCCGGCAGCCCCGGGACTCTGGCTGGCTTTTTGTGCTCCCTTGCTAGCCTTCTGTGACCCTGGCACAGAGGCCCCAAGGGCTCGGGGGTGTGAGACGCAGGGCCTCCGATCAAGGCCAGGACTGTGGTCGTCCCCTGGAGCGGACTCCCGGCATCAGCTGTGTCTGTGGGCCATCGGGACCAGGAGAGGCTCGAGAGGAACCTATTGCGGCACTGGAAAGACACCACCACCCGAGACGTGTGGCCTTTCAGATGCGTGGTGACGGTTCCCGTGGACATACTCCAGGCCGTGGGGCAACTTCCAGCAGAGCGAGCGGCCTTGGCAGTCTCCGCTCCTTGTGGAATTTCTCTGCTGAGAAGGACCTTTCCTAGGTCCCTCCTAGTTCTGTCCCAGTCGCCCACCTCCACCCCAGGGCCTCCTGGATGTGGAGTGAGGAAGGGGGGGGTGCAGAACCCGGGGTCCTCCCTGCCTGCCCACACACGCCTGCTCCCCTCCAGCCTCCTCTCTGGTCAAGTCTGGCTGAAGACTTAGTCCAAGGCCCCCAGAGGAGCGGCGTCAGGGCGGAGCGGGGAACAGCTGTGTCTTCTGGCTCTCACAGGGAGGGGGAGAACCAGAACAGCAAGTAGTTTGGGAGGGAGGGAGCGTGGCAGCCTGAGCCTGGCTGGCCCTGTGACCTCGCTTCCTCGGCCAGAGAAAGCCGTGTCCCTTCGCACCCTGACCCAGGAGCTTCAGGGCACCACGGTGGCTTGTCCTCTTGCATGCCTGGCCCCGGGCTCTCTGGTGGCTGTAGCACAAGTTGGGTATCTGCCTGGGGTCCTCAGTGCCCAGGGCTGGGCCGGGAGCGTGGCCTCTGTCCCAGGCTCAGCCCGTCCAACACTGGAGGGGGCAGCCAGGGGTCTGGAGCAAATCTCGTGGGTGTGGCCAGTGACTCAGCAGCCGTGGCACTTCCAGGCCACGGTCCGCACAGCCAGGTGCGGCGGTTGCTTTCCGAGAGACAGACGTCTGCTGGCACCGTTGTGCTCCTGGCCTGGGCAGCCATCTCCGCCCACCTCCCCTCTGAGGCCTGACCACGCGTCGGGGCTGGACTTCTGCAGGCTGCTCTGCGGGGGCAGGGAAGGCCGTCACCATGGTTGGTCTGGGGAGCTCGGGCTGGATCCGCTAGCCCCCACCCCGGAAGCTTCCACAGTGCATTCTGGGGCAGGTTGCTCAGAACTGCAGGGATGCCCCAGGTCACCTGGGCCGCCCCGCATCTTCAGCTCTGTGTCTCATCTAAATCAGCACTGGCCAGGTACAGCCCCCTGACCAAATCCTGCACCACCTGCTTTTGTAAATAACATTTTGCTGGAATTCAGCCAAGCTTATTCATTTGTGTATTATTTATGGGTGCTTTTGCACTACAGTAGCAGGGTAGAAGAGCTGAGATCAGAGCCGCTGAATGGCCTGCAAATCCCTAAGTATTGACTGTTTGGCTCTGTACAGGTAAAGTTTGCCAGTCTCTGGCAAGTCACGCTGAGCAGGGTGGCTTTCTTCCCTGTCCCTTCCTGTGAACCCTCAGTTATTTCAGGTTCCGAAGTCACACATGTTCTGCTTCTTCGTTGAATGTGCACCATCTTCATCGTCATGATGATAACTTTCCTTTATTCTTAATTCCGGGAGTTTAGGATCTCCTGCTCCTCTGACCTCTGATAATAGGCCATCGCGCCTGTGTAATTATGTGACTCTCTTCTGAATTGTTGGAATCGTTTTGTCCTTTAATGTGACCCAGGCCCGTATCTTTTGCCCTGGCCGCCTTGAGGACAGGGGCTGTCCTGTTCTTTAAGGCAGTTGAGCTTGCTATAAGCCAGGTCATGCCCAAATACTTCCTCTGTATCCTCCCAGAGTACGCCTGTTCTTCCCCCACCAAACATGCATACAGGCACCTTTTCTCCCTTTGATATTTTTATGTCTTATTTTGAAGGTTAGTGAACTAATATTTATTATTTAATAGTGCTGAGCACAGTTTAATCCTTACAGTGACCCCATGTGACGGGTACTTCTACTCTCCCCATTTTATAGCAAAGGAACTGAGGCCCAGAGAGGTCAAGTCAGTTGTCCAGAGTCACACAGCTTGATGTGCCAGTGTCAGGATTCGAACCCAGCCTCGAAGGTCAGATTCCTGCCCCGCTGCCCTATCTGCCTCTCTGTATAGATCCATTTACAGATGATTTCACAGTGAGAGGCTTGGGAGACTCTCAAGAAACACCCCCTGGTGCTCAACTCCTAGATGGGAGGGCAGGCCCCCTGGGGGGATAATGACCCAGCAGGAGTTCCCACAGGAGGGTTCAATCCCCTTCTGTCCTGTTCTAATCATGGGAATCCAGACCAGAGCCAGACCTTGGGTGCTCAGAGCTTCCCTCCGGATGGGATCCCCACGCCCTCACCAAGACAAGGGTTCCCACACCCCGTGATGGGGAGTGGGGCTTCTTGGAGGCTGCAGCTGGAGGCCCAGCCCACTCAGGAAGCCTGAGCCCCAGGACCCAAAAGCAGAGACCTTGTCGGGGCCCAGGTAAGGAGACATTTTCCCCTCAGACCCCAGGAAGCAGGCTCTCAGAGGCAGCCCTTTCTCTGGCTGACCGAGGGGCCAGGAATGGCCGAGAGGAGCAGAAACGTCTCTCCAGGCCAGGGGCAGCAAAGGCGAAGGATCGTCCACTAGCAGCTACCAGATGTGTCCACCATGTGCGAGGCCCTCGCCCCGGCGAGGAGCCCGGCCGGAGGTACCGCTCACAGCCGTCGCCCTTCCGCAGCCGGCCCGGAGCGCAGCTGGGCTGCTTAGGAAATGAGCAGATTATTCTGTTCCTTCCTGCACGCTGTGTGTCGCACCTGCTGGGGCTGCAGGCTGCTCAGAGCCCGCCTCTGGGACTTGGGTCAGCTCTCTCAGCGTCGGGCCAGATGGAGTTCGAAGGACGTGGTATGGGAGCCAGGTGGTGGCCTGGCCTCTGCTGACCCTCTTCATGTGGACCTGTCTCAGCTTGCCGGACAGCAATCCAGTAACCTGGCTCCTGCAGGGCGCCTGGGTTGTGGAGGCCCCCAGACAACGATGACAACAGCCTCCTCATACTGGATACGCACCAGGCCCTGTGGAAGCACCATCACGTTTTGTCTCCTTGAATCCTCGACAATTCCAGTACTATTCCTGTTTTATGAAGAGGGAAAGTGAGACCGAGAGAGGCTGTCACATACCCATGGTTAAATCTATGGACTCCTAAAGGCTGGATTCAAACCTAGTTCCATTCACTCCAGAGATCATAGAAATAGCTCTAGTCGCCAAGCCACAGAAGACTTGGCTCTGGGGAGCCTGGTTTTGTGCAGCAGCTGCAGGAGCATTACTCTGCCCCCCGGGGGAAGCTGGGAACCGACGCCCCCGTGGTCCCTGCTGAGTACTGTCCCACGGGGACGTGAGCCCACGCTGCCTGTTCTCCCACCATCGCCTGGGCCAGGACTAGGGAAGCTCTCTCTGTCATAGGTCCCCCAAAGAAGCTCATTTTCCCAGGCAAAGGTTTCTAGATTTCCCCACCTCCTGCCCCTCTTCCTGGTGGGGCAAGGAATCCCCAGCAGCCCAGGGGTCCGTCCGAGGTCAGGGCCCTGTGTCTCCTACGATCTCCCTGCACCCCCTTTACCTTAAGAGCCTCCTTTGTCTTCACTTGGCACCGCCCGAAGGTCCAGGCCTTGCCCCTCATGTGGAACACCCAGCGCAAGGACTTCTCAAAACCAGGACTGGGAATGCACTTCAGCTTTTGCCATTTCTGTTCTCATCACGAATATTCCCTTGGCCCTCTTCAGGGACTTCGTGATTCAGAAAGACATCAGAGACTTGTGTGGATGGACACTTACGTGTTCGTGACCTATATATAGTAATATTCATGCCACCATCCACCTCTCTTTCTCCCCTGCTATTGCTTATGAGATCACCTTCATAGTCTAGTGCCCATCTTACAGATGGAGTACTGGAGGAGAGAACGATTTTCATGCTCTGTTCTTCTCCACAGTTGCATATGTTTTTGTTTTTGTTTTTTGCGGTACGCGGGCCTCTCACTGTTGCGGCCTCTCCCGTTGCGGAGCACAGGCTCCGGATGCACAGGCTCAGCGGCCATGGCTCACGGGCCCAGCCGCTCCGTGGCATGTGGGATCTTCCCGGACCGGGGCATGAACCCGTGTCCCCTGCATCAGTAGGCAGACTCTCAACCACTGCGCCACCAGGGAAGCCCTGCATATGTTTTTTATTCTACTCAAATTATGCTCATTCACCCTTATGCCATGTAAGAAATGCTGGGTGGTCCTGTCCTCTGAGCATCCTTCCTTGGTCCTAAATGTTCATCACACCCTCCACGCTCCCATGGAGCTCTGACCTTGTCTATTAAAGCACTTGATAAGGAGCTGTGAGCACCTAGTTAAGACTTTCTCAGGACTGACTCCTGACCATCTGGATGTGTCCCTCAGCTAGTCCGTGGGAGCCATCCAGTATCTGCTGAGCAAGTGATTGAACTTGTTATGGGAGAAGTTTGGGAGTTAGAAGCCAGGTCCTCTTCCTCTGTGTACCCCTGATCAGCCCTTGTCTTTGTAGAAAGTGTATTCTATGCAGAAGCCATCATAGCTACCATGACAGCCTGACTCCATCTGGCCTTTCAAGTGTGTTATGTCATGTCATGATGTGTACAATGATATTGTGTGTGTGGTGGGCATCGGAGCCTCATTTTGCAGGGGGCGGGGGGAATGCTGAGGCTTGGTGAGGTTAAGCAATGCGCCCACAGCCCTCCAACTGGATGCAAACCAAACACTATGGATGGGGTGGCTGATGGGAGTCACGATAATCCCTGTTCTCTCTCTCGACTTGCTTGACGTCCAAGCTGGGCATTTTTTTCTTCTGGTTCCCTCTCCTTCCACCCAAAGGGTTAATTCCAAGTTGTTCCCAGTGTATCGTATCTGAAAATGTTTGTTTTATTTGTTCATACCACAGATTCCAGAACGGAAACAGCTCTCCACCCCAAAGATCGAGTCTCCAGAGGGTTACTATGAAGAGGCTGAACCATATGACACATCCCTCAATGGTACATCCTGGGGACGGGGCTTGGAGGGGGTCCAATCACTTCCTGCACGGATGCCAGTGCCAACTCCCCTGGTTGGGACCGGCACACTTACCCTGGCTAGAAACACAGGGCAGCCTGGGTGGCTCTTACTAGAGAGCATGGCCCGAATTGAGAACTGGCCACAGGGCATTTGGCCTCTGGTCTGCTGGGGAGCTGAGACCTACAGCAGACCCAACCCACCTGCAAGGAGGGGCTTGGGGTGGTCCACAAGGAGCTGGTTTACTGTGTCTGATGCTTTCTGTGGTCCTGCCTGGATGTTGCTTGATTCAGCACAGAAATGTGACAAAGAAGAGGTGTGTTGGCCGAGAGGCACAAGGCCCCGTAAGCAATGGAAATGTGGTCAGGCTGAGCCAGAGCCCAGTTCCCAGGTTCTTTCGCTGGACTAATAGTCACTGGGCTCCCACCATGTACCCAGCATGCTTCTAGGAATCAGGAGCTCAGCAGCACGCAGGATTCAGTGGGGTTCAGTGGTCACGGCACTTAGATTCTGAGAGGGAAGACAGACAGCAAATAAACATAGGATGTGTCAGGTCAGGATGGAAAGCTGCAGGGGCTGGGTTGGGGCAGGAGAAGGATTTTATTTTAGATTAGGGAGGGCCTCTCTGATAGCATGACCTTGAGCAGATTCCCAAATGAAGTGGGAACTGGGTGGGGCTGATAACTGCAGGAAGAACTTTCTAAACAGAGAGCACAGTACGTGCAAAGGCCCTGAGGCAGGAGAGCCCTTGGCATGTTTGGAGGCCATTGTGGCAGGAGCAGGTGGGGTTGGGGGAGAGAGATGGGAGATGGGGACACAGAAATCAGCTGTAGGCCTTGGTAACGACTTCGGCTTTTCTCTGAATAGACTTTTCTCCAGCCTTTGGAGGGGAGGGTTGTTTGTGGCTGACCTAACTTAGGTAGATGGCCTTTGCTATGGGGGCAGGGCTCACGCTGGAGCCATCTGTCCTCGGCCAGTGGTTCTCAGCCTGATGAGGTTGGATCAGAAATAGAAATGCTCCCGTTGTGGGGATTCTATAACACAGAAAGGCCTTGAAGGTTCTGGAAGAAAGAGATGGTTGTGACCCCATTCTCCCAGGTAGCCGGACTCTGGTCCCCTCACTCTCCCTTTCTTACCTCCTTCTCTTTCCTTCCTTTGTAAGTGAAAGGTCTTTGAAAGCATAAAGCAACTTGCAGATGTCAGTGGTAAGGATCCCTGGTGGTGGGAATGAACTTGGCCGAAGGGGGGGACCTTGTTGGTGTCACAAAGAACTGGCCCTGGGATGAGATGGGACCAGTCACTTGGAGCCACATGGGATTCTTGTCCTCTTTCTTCACACTTTACCTACTGTCTGTGGTCCCGGGAACTGTGTGGGAGGTGAGGGCTTCTTTGGCCCGAAGGAATTTTATTCTAAGAGGCTGGCTTTGTGGACAGACATCACTTAGCTTGTGAGGTGTTGCCAAGTCACCGGCTGGACTGTGATTTCAGACTGGAGCTGAGAGCGCGGTGGGGCTGTCTGGGTGCGTCTGGAAGGTGGGAGCAGTGACTCACCCCCGGGAGCACCTCCATGTGTCTGAAGCCCATCTCTCTCGGGTGTGGCCTGTGCCAGCCGGGGCCTGCCTCCCAGACGCTCCCGGGGGCCTGTTGGTGGGGCAGACACTTCATCTCGACACAAACAGGCAGTCAGAAGGATCCCGGTGTTTGTCTCTCGACTGGGAGTTCATATTGGTTTTATCCAGAACCAGGGGGTCATCACAAGGTCAGCAAGGAGGGTGGGGAGAAGCCCAGGTGCCTTTTGTCCCCTGCCGGCTCGAGGACGGAGGATGACTTGTGGGGAGCTGGTCATACTTACCACGAAGAGGGGGCCTCCCCTGCATCATAAGCTGGCCTGCCCCTGATTCCTGCCTGCTGTCCCCCACACCTGTTTGACCAGTGGGATGCACAGGTCACAACAGCAGAAATGACCATCGGACTCCCGCCCCTTGCTCTACTTCTCTGGCCAACAGCGATTTTGCTGACTTCCTGAAAAAGACCAGTTGCTTGGCCTCTTGGCCTGCTTTATCAGCAGTCCGCTCACTGCTTCCCTGGGTCAGGTCCTCTCTCTGAACAAGTTTAGTAAGTGCCCTGCCGGCCTGTGCAGGAGCTATTAGGTAGAGCTCCTGCATTGCTGGTGTCTCCTGCTAGAGACAGTAGACATCAGTAACGGCAGCTGCTGTAACAAACAACCCCTCTTGCAGCTTAGAGTAACCCAGTGCAAATCTGATCCTCACTCACGGAGTAGTTCAGCTGGGCCTTACTGGTCAGCAGGCTCCGTCCAGCGTGGGCTCGGTCACCTTCTGAGGCCACAGAATCCACCACAAAGAAAGGGCGGAGAACCTCTATGTGCTCCTTAAAGGCACCAGGCAGAGTGACACCTAGTGCTTCTATCCACATTCCATTGGTGGCAGGAAGTCACATCTCTGGATGGGAAGGGGCTGGGAAATGACGTCCTTGGCCAGGCTGGGGTACACCTGACAAGCCCACATCTCCGATGGGAACGCACTAACTTCTGGTGGGAGGGCAGCCGCGTCGCCACATCTCTTTGTGTCTCTGCATCTGGGACTGCCGCTCTCTTCATCTTCTCTCTCTTCCTCTTGCCTTTGTCTGTTCTTCTGGATCCCACACAGATCATTCTGGCAAATTTCCCCCCAGTGGAGTCCCCAGATGGGCACAGGTGCCTGAAGGAGTCGTTTACGCCACGATCACCTTGGGTACTGCTTGTCCCAGAGCGGGAATGCCGGTGATCCCATCTGCTGCCTGGCCCTCTCTGAGGCGGGGTGCATGCCCCGAGGGTGGCTGCCGCCCTCTTCCCGTCCTCTTGCATGGGTTCTGCATGCGCACGCCATGTGCTGTCCCTCTGCAGACCCCTGCCTGTAGCATCTGAACAGACGGCTAGAGGACGCAGAGCATGGCATGGCTGTCCTGCCCTGTGTTCCCGAGGACATGCCACAGGACACAGTGGGTGCAGTCTCCACCTGGGGACAGCAAACAGGGGTATGGAATTATCTTAGCATCCTGCCTTTCACTCCTGTTCATCCTGCAACCTCTAGAAGCCAAGTACCTGTTTAAGAATACCCTACATTTATGGTTGGGCCGTGATCACTCTTAGAGATAAATAAAATGGTCAATACATTTGCCCTAGATTTCCTCCAAGCTGTTCCAGGTAGCATCCCCATCGCCCTTGGAGGCAGAGGGGCAGATATTAGAATTCTCCATGGAACATGTGGGGCAACCCCAGAAGTACAAAACAGCCAGGGGCAGGGTGTGGGGGGAGTTCGGCCAGCTTCTTCACACTAAACTCTGTAGCCTCGCTTATTAATCTTTATCACTGAAAGAGCTATCCCAATGACTACATCATTCTTATTTCATTTATTATGCAGCTAATGCAGTGCTGACAAGGGGGACATTTTTTACGGAATCACCCTGATCCTACCACCAGATCAAACCAACTATTTTGAGTTCTCTCTGAGCCTTTCAGTACTGTTCTCTTTGTATAGATAATTCTAATTGTGCTTTCTCACTTACCATCTTATCTTGAGGAGATTCTCAAGTTGCAGACTGGTCTTCAGAGCTTTCACTGATTATGGCTGCATGGTGCGCGCTGGATGAAATCAGACTTTCCTGAGTCTCCTTCTGCTGACTCTTCAATAGCTCTTGAATAAATACCTTAATGCATGTAACCTTCCCCCCTTCCTTCCTTTTTTAAAAACTAGTTTCTTAGGATAAACTCCCAGGACTGGGATTATTGGGTCGAAGGGTATGAATGTTTTTATGGCGCTCGAAACAACAGGCTGACAGGTTGTTTCCTGAGAGGCTGGTGTTAATTTATATTGCCACCAGCCATACGAGAGAGTTCAGGGGGGTCCCCTACTGGGTAGCACCACTATTTTCAATCTTTGTTTATTTAATAGGTATAAAATTGTGAACTATGCAACTTTTTTATTAAGCCAGGAAGGGGAGTAGTATCACACTGCTTTTCAAGATGACTGATATTAAAATAGTCAAGGTATTATTTTTAAAACTATTAAAGCAAAATAAAACACATTTTCATTGGCATTGTAGCCAGAGTAACTGTGGCCGTGGCCTCATTCTAATTCAAATGCGGTTCTGTTTTCTTAGTATTGCAGGAACCTAGCTATGCAGGTAGTTTAAGAGGCTTCTGGAGAAGAGAAGATGGGGGACCCATGGGCTCTTTTCTGATGGATAATGTGCAGAAGAAAGGTTTCATTCACTGTGACTCAAGGGGACAGACTTGTCTGTAGAAGTCACAGGGAAGTAGGTGGGACTTTCTGTTAGAGCTGCCCAGTAATAGAAGGAATTGTCCAGCAGTTGGGCGGTATGAGCTTCCCGTCCACGGGGGGATTCAAGCAGAGGCTGGGGCAGGGTTATGACAGACAGGATTCCTGTGCTGAGCCAGGGGTTGGACCTGGATCCTGAGGTTCTCCTTTCTCCGTGTCCTGCATTTCGGGGTTTGATTGATTTTTTTCTGCACCTAGTTTTTGTTGGCCTTGAATAGGGCAGTGAGGCCAGGGGAACAGAGAAATTCTTGGAGGGTGGTGGAGGCAGAAACCGAGGCATGCAGAGCGGGCACAGGATCGGGTGCAATTTGGTGCGTTTTGGGATTCTTTTAAACAGAATAAAAACGTGAGGGTGGCTCATTGCTAGAAAGGAAGGGTAGCAGGTGGGGATGGGCAGAAGATGCTAAGCTCTTGACGGGAGGTGCTCTGTGGGGAGGGAAAGAGAACGGAGCCTGTGGAAGATGAGCCGATTTCCAGCAGGGCTGCGATTGTGAGGAGAGCCTTCAGGAGTGCGAGGGTGGCCGCCTTCCCCGGAGGGCCAGCTCCTGATGGGCTTTGTTTCATCTTTTACTTCCGCGGAGCCACAGCTTCCTGCTGCTCCCAGGACAGAACCAGGGACAGGGCAGGCCCAGTGGGCCGCTGCTGGAGGCTCGCCCAGCTCTGGGCTCAGACGGCGACCCTCTCCTCCTGGGCCCTTAGAAGCGATCTCACCCCACTGCTTCATCCTTCAGCGGAAGAAATGGAGGCCCCCAGCAGGGGCGCTGGACCTCTCAAGAGCAGGCGTGTGAGGGCCGCGTCTGGTCAGAGGTTTCCACGGGGTCTGAGGCGACAGGATTTGAGGAGGAAGAGGGAGACTCCTGGTTTTACGTCACCTGCGTCTGCGGCCGGAGGCAGCATCCAAGGCGCTTTGCTCAGGGGTTTGGGGGCCGGAAAGTCCGCCTGGGTGTGTGGTTGGTGACTGTGGGCTGGTCCAAGGGCACGGAGGGGGCGGGGTAGCCTGGGGACCACTGGATGCCCCTGCCTGCTCCCCTCCCTCCCGAAGGAGCAAAGCCTGTTTCGGAACATCCCCTGCTCGCTGGAACTGTGACGGAGGGCTCTTCCTTGCAGAGGACGGAGAGGCCGTGAGCAGTTCCTACGAGTCCTACGACGAGGACGAAAGCAGCAAGGGCAAGTCGGCCCCCTACCAGTGGCCCTCGCCCGAGGCCAGCATCGAGCTGATGCGTGACGCCCGCATCTGTGCTTTCCTGTGGCGCAAGAAGTGGCTGGGCCAGTGGGCCAAGCAGCTCTGCGTGATCAAGGACACCAGGCTCCTGGTGAGTGTCCTCTCCCCGGAGTGGAGGTGCGGGTGGTCCCTGATGCCAGGTGCTTAGGGCCTGTCGCATCAGGGGGTTTCTGCTTCTCCCCAGCAGAGTTTCGTGTGCGAGGATGAACGTGCTTTCTCTTACGTAGGAAGGACTAGTACTTCCAGCAGGCTTTCAAAGGGGTCTGTGACGACTGCCCCCTCCCCTCCCCACCGATCCCATCGTACAGATATTTTTTCCGGGGATCTTTTTGTCCCCTGGTCTGTGGGCTCCTTCTTCTTTACAGTCCTTTTGGGGCGGAGCCTGCTGCCCAGGCAGGTGACTGATTATAAGATGAGACCCATAAGGGAATCAGAAGATAGTACTCTGACCACAGCCCCGTTTCTTGTTACTTTAAGTTTAAATTTGGTTTTATGTCCCAGTGTGAAGTTCCATGGAGTCATTATAAACACCCCTTCTTCACTGGTTACAACCCGCCCTGCTGCGTGCAGGTGTTTTTCAGGTAGTCCCGTTAAGCAGCCCTGTAAAGAACCTCCATTTTACAGTGAGAAACAGAGGGGTAACGCATTTTCTCTGGTAGGGAGGAGAGTCGCTTCCTTTCTCTGCTAACACATCGTCTCCTAACGAATCGGATGATAAACTTGGCCTTCATCCCCTTTGGGCCCCTTAGTGGGGAAGCCGAGCAAGGAACAGAAGCAGAGAGACAGAGAACTGGGAAAAGTGCCTTCCACCCTGGAGAGGTGGGAGTTGCCTGCAGAGGACACATTTTAGGAGCCGGTGTGGTCTGCAGTGGGATTAGAGCAGCTTGGATGAGCAGGGCTGGGGCCTCTCTGGCAAGCGGGAGGAAGAGGCTTGAGGGAGACAGAGACAGCTGCCTGGTCACTCTGACGCCGAGAACACGCGTTGCCAGTGTTGGAGGTGACAGCTCTGCACTTGCACAGGGGTGTCCAGCCTTTGGGTTTGTCGTGCAGAGCCCACCCCTCAGCGGGTCCTGCCCTGCCCAGCGGCCCTCTCCTCTGCAGAACCTGGCCAAGCAGCGTCTCGCCTCTCCCCTCTTCCAGTGTTACAAGTCCTCCAAGGACCACAGTCCTCAGCTGGACGTGAACTTGCTGGGCAGCAGTGTGGTGCACAAGGAGAAGCAAGTGCGGAAGAAGGAGCACAAGCTGAAGATCACACCCGTGAGCGCCGACGTGATCGTGCTGGGCCTGCAGAGCAAGGACCAAGCTGAGCAGTGGCTCAGGGTGAGGGAGGCGCCAGGCTGCAGGGGAGGTGGGCCTGCTCCGCTCTGGGGCTCCCCAGCCTTTTCAAAGGGATGGCTGTGGTTGGGGGTGAAGTGTCTATGATCCTTCAAGTTCGCAGGGGTTCCTGCGTCGTCGGTGGTAGCAATCCGCCTTAGGGAAATGGGTCGCAGGGCTATGTCTGCGATCTTCTCAGATACCTGGACTCGGGCTCTAGCTGAAATCCACTTGCCTTGTGGTCTCCAGTGAGGCATCGCCAGCCAGTTCAAAGGCTCCTTCCCGGGGAGCTGGGGTGGACTCTGACAGGCATGTCTGGGAGCCTGGCCTGGACCAAGGCAGCGTCCAGGCCTGAGGCCCAGGCAGCATGCAGACCCTCCACAGTGAGCCCCACAGCCCCCAGGAGCCAGAGAGCCATCTGGCAAATGTGGGTGTTTACGCCCGCAGTGAACAGCCACCCCTGCCCAGGATGGGGTGAGAGGAGCTGAGGGCTGGCTGCCCTCACCCTGTTTGGGCTTTGCTGCCAACCCTGCCCCCTGCCTCCCTGGCATGCCACCAAACACCTGGGGGCCTGCAGGAGACAGGCCTCGGGAACACGCCCCCTCCCCGACTGGGTCCCAAGGCCACATGTGGCTAGGGGGGCTCCGGCTTTGGTCTGGCCGTGGCTGCAGGCCTGAAGGGTCTTCCTCTTCCTTCAGGTCATCCAGGAGGTGAGTGGCCTGCCTTCTGAAGGAGCTTGTGAGGGAAGCCAGTACACCCCAGATGCCCAGCGCCCGAGTTGTCCGAAAGTAAGCCTCTACCCTGCCTGAAAGAGAGTTCAATTCCATTTTTGTCTCTATAAAATTCAAGGTGTTAAGATAGGGAGCTTTGCTCTTGCGCGTCAGCCCAGTTGATAAACGTACAGTGCTTGGCTAAGGGCAGTAGCTTCAGCTTGGCAGGGAAACTGATGAGAATGACAGCCTACAATATTTTCTTGCTTGGGGGAAGGTTTATTGGGACAAAAGTCACTTTGCCTCCGTTCTTGGGCAGGGAGATTTTTCGAGGCTCTTCCTTCCCACTTAGGCAACTGTCTGGGTGTTGGACCCCAACCAAAGGGCCCTACTGCTGATTTGCATGGAGCTGTGGGAGCCCTGCTTTAGGGTCAAAGTTGAGAAAGTTGGGCTGGGTGCTGGCCGAGGGGAGGGCTGTCACTGCGGGGTCACATTCCATGTCCCCAGGTGGGTGCCCGGAACCCTGCTGTGCACAGAGGGTCCCTGTGGCTCATCTTGGGGTCCCCACCCCCAGCAGGGAGGAAGGCAGAGGGTGGGCAGAGGCCCTGAGCAGGGAGGAGGCTCTCGGCTCCTTTGGAAGGCACGGGCCACCCCCATGGAGGAAAACCCACAGCCTTCTAGGGTGACGGAAGAGGGGCTGATGTTTTCATTCTTATTCATTCCTTGGTCATTGACAAGAAAACCAAAGCCAGAGTAAACTTGGAGATTCCTTCACATTGGGGTGAGAAACAAGGCCTCTCCCTAAAGACCCAGCACACAAGATTCCCTGGCCAGGTACTGCCGTCCTTGGTCCTCAGCGAAGGCCTTGTTGGTTGGGAGTCGCTGGGCTTGTTTTCCAGGGGTTCTGGAGTCAGTGGTTCTAGAAGAAGCCTGATGGGAATCTTCTGAGTGTCTACTCTAGGGACTGTCTCTAGTCCCCCAACAGCCCTGAGAATGCAGACAGGGGTGTTATCCCTATTTTATACACATGCAGGTTGGGGCTCAGAGAGGCCCTGCTGCACTAGAGAATGCTCCAGGTGGGATTAGAATCGTGGTCTGACCCTGTGAGGACAAGCCAGCTCTTCTGCAAAGCCTGGCACGCTGGTAGTACAGTCAACTCTCAAAAGACGTCCTGGTATGGGTGGGTCGCAGCTTCAGTTGCGACGCTGACTCTCGTGCACCCTGGGGCTGGCTACCTGCCCTGCCCACTGGCTACGGAGCCGCTGTCACACCAAGTGGAGTAGTCATCTTGAGAACTTACTATCAAGGATATGCGGTGGCCTGAAGAAGGAAACAATGCTCTGGGATGGGGTGGGGAACCTCACAAGGGAAGGCAAAGGCAGGTCCTTTAGGGAGCCCCAGGGAAGCCTGGCCATGCCCCACCAGTGACTTGGACTCCAAGGTGACCCCTAGCCTACACCCAAGAGTCATCTATTATTTTCCCTTAAATTGTGGTCTCCTAGGTAACCATTCCCAGACAAGATCACCCACTTGTCTCTCTCTCTTCCACAGCCAGATGTAACTGAGAAGTACCTGTCAGCCTCGGAGTATGGAAGCTCCATAGATGGCCACCCTGAGGTCCCAGAGACCAAAGATGGTACAAACGCTCTGGCTCTCAGCCTAGGGTTGGGAGGGGTGGTATCCCGGGCTTTGAGGCTCGGCTGTCTGGCTCAACCCTACCGAGTTTTAACAGCTCATTCCAGCATGCCTCCAGTTTCTAAACTGCTCAGAAGTATATAGCTGATAGATCCCGGGAAAAAGGAGAGAGGACCAAACTGAAGTTACGTTTCATGAATTGCTGGGGGTAGAATATTCTTTCATCTCTTGTTTGCTAACCCTAGTTCAGATCTCTCTGAGCCAATTCAGTCTGTAAAGATTCTCCAGTGCTGACATGTTCTGTAAGAGAGGTTGGTGTGCCTCTAGAGACACCTGACTGGCCTGTGGATCCGAGTTTGGGGCACAGACCTGTGCGCGCACAGGGAGGGGCAGACGGGACAGGGACAGGTCTGCTAATTTTTCCGTCATCCATGAGGGCACAGCGGTAGCGCTGTGTGCAGGGCTGAAGGTTTTTCCTCTCATCTTGACAGTCAAGAAGAAATGTTCTGCTGGCCTCAAACTGAGCAACCTAATGAACCTGGGCAGGAAGAAATCTACCTCGCTGGAGCCTCCGGAAAGGTCCCTCGAGACATCCAGTAAGCTTCAATAGCCTCCTCCTGGGCCAGAGGGCGGGCCCCCCGCGGGGCCGCAGCCCGTCTCCGTCTCCGTCTCCGGGAAGGCGGCTCAGACGGCCAGGGCAGGGACTTGGGGTTTTGCTCTAGCAGCTCTTGAGCGGGTGAGCCCACAGTCCATGGTTTCTGCTGATCTTTGCTGCAGGCAGCCCTTTATAAAGCCTCACCAGACCCTCTTGCTGCAGTGTGCGGAAGTGAAGGGTAGTTGATGGCCGTCCTCCTAACAGTCTTTAAAGTTGTATGTTCATTCGATCAATGTGTATGGAGCACGGGAGGCACGGTGTTAGGGAAAGGGGCCCAAGCAGGCGGAGGACACGGTCCTGAGAGCTTACAGCTCAACAGAGATGATGGCCTTATACCCATCACCACACACTGTGCCGTCTCAGTAGCTACAAGGACTCGGGGACAGAAAGAACTTTTCTTACTCTGTAGACAGAGATGGATGGCTTCCTGGACCTGAGCTGCCAAGGCCGGGCGGGAGCTAAACGGGCTGGGATGGCCCCCGCGGGCAGGAGCAAAGACTCTGACGGGGTACTGGTAAGACCCGCTAAGGGGATGACAAAGCCCGTGTCGCTGGTACAGAGGGAATGTGTGGGTGCTGGGAGGCCCTCCAGGTCATCTCTGCTGCCCTTACTCGGCCTTGAGGAAACTGATGACAGGAAAGAGAGACAGAGAGAGAGACCTTTCCCAGAAAACATCCTGGCTTCCAACTCAAAGCTCATTGCTATACTTACGCCCCGGAGCCTGAAGGCCACTACTCTCCATCTTTGGGCCTTTTCCTCCTCCTCATGGAACCCGTGTACCAGCCCTGGGCTCTCTTCCTGAGTCCCAGTTCAGCTCTTGTGGGCTGGAGCGACAGGAAGGCAGCAGACAGGGCCCTGCCTTTGGAGTCTCCTGGTTCTGTGGCCAGGTTGCCGGGTGGCGGCCCAGCTCTGCCAGCCCCTGTGGCCTCAGAGGGCACGGTGTTGGGCCTGGGAGCCTGGTCCCAGTGAGTCGCTTTGCGCGATGTGGCTGGGTTCTTGCTGGCCGTTACTCAGCAGGGAAGCACGCTCCTGTCCCCTGTGGCTGGGGAAGGGCCAGAGAGAACATGGCTACTCTCCTTCCCAGGACTCGGTGCCTGAGCTCCCTGCCTCTCTTTGGTCCAGAGAATCGTGATGGGCGAGTGGGGCGCCTGCCTGAATGAGCCAGAGTTCCTAGGTCCTGGGCTCACATTCTTCTACTTTGCTACTCTGATGTGATGGTCTCGTGGCCCTGAGAAATTCACGATCCCCACTGACTGTCCAGCACTGGACTGGGTGCGAAGGTGGCCGTGTACTTTGACCCTGTTGCATGGGCCTAGTTCTTCCCGGCTAAGGTTCAGAGCAGCTGCCGGTCCCTTAGGATGGAGAAGGCATCCGCTTTGTAAGCCAGTGCCCGTGGGAAGGTGAGCAGCACAGAGAGATGTCGACCCACGGTGTGTGGGGCAGGCAGAGGGGCCTGAGACTGGATGTTTACTGATCTTTCCAGCCCCAGGGACAAGGCTGTGCTTGGCACACGGTGTCAGCTCCGTAAATATTCACCTAAGTTGGGAGGAAGCTGAACCCAACACATGCAACCATTTAAAAACAAGAAAGGCCTATGTGATGGATGCACCCCAGCACTGGCAGCCCCTGTGTGCCGGTGGAGAAAGAAGGGCTGCCTGGTGGAGAGGCCAAGGGGCACAGAACCAGGCGCTGGAGACGAACGTGGCAAGTTCCTGCCCTTGACAAGCTCTGTGTCCCGTTGGGAGGCTGACATGGAAGTGGAGAATGTCGCTGTTCCAGGACTCAAGTGTTCTGAAGGCCGACCGTGCAGGGAAGGCAGGACCCAGGAGGGCCAGCCACCTCTGGGAGGACGTGGAGGAGCTGGCCGAGGGGGGAGGGGCCTTTGCAGGCTGAGACCCAGCGACTGGGGACAGCAAGGTGTTAGGGGAGCTGAGGGAACTAAGGCTGTGGAGGTGAGGGGGTCGCATCTGCGGCCAGGACACCCAGGCTGGGGCGAGCTTCCTGCAGGTGGCCTGGGCTGGCAGGGGCGGGGGAAGGGAGACAAGGAGGCCGGGGTGGGGGTGCCTGCCTCGGTCCTGCACACACACACACAGACACACACGCACGCAGACACACATGCACACACACACACGCACAAACATGCACGCAGACGCGCACACGCATGCAGACACATGCACACACGCGCACACAGACACACACACGCGCGCGCACACACATATGCATGCACGCACACACGCGCACACACACACGCTCTCTGCCTGGTCCAGGCCAAGGCACGACTCACTTCCCTCCGGACAGGCCTTTCTCAAAACCCAGTAGCACGGTGCTGCCCACCTTCAAAGGATCTAGCAGCTAACACAAAGGAGAATTCACAGACTCTACGAGGCAAGAAAGTCTCTGGGGCAAAGCATGGCAAGCCTTGGAGCTGAGATCTGGAGGAGCCTCTCCAGGGGTCCGGGGGCAAGGGCGGCCCTCAGCCACCCACCCGCCCTGAAGCCGCGTCCCACTCCGCAGGTTACCTGAACGTGCTGGTGAACAGCCAGTGGAAGTCGCGCTGGTGCTCCGTCAGGGACAGTCACCTGTACTTCTACCAGGACCGGAACCGCAGCAAGGCGGCCCAGCAGCCCCTCAGCCTGGTGGGCTGTGAGGTGGTGCCAGACCCGAGCCCCGACCACCTCTACTCCTTCCGCATCCTCCACGATGGCGAGGAGCTGGCCAAGCTCGAGGTACCGCTGGCCCTCTGGCTGGGTGGGAGTGGGGAGGCACGGCCAGGGCAGAGGTCGTGGTCACGGCTGTTTGCCGCAGGTCCTGAGGACCGCAGTCCTACAATGGGAGAGTCAACTTAGCCACCCTTTATTTTTACTTCCTTTGCCTGAGATTGTTTGCATTTTTAAAAAATTTCCATTCCCTTTCTGACCTCAGGGTGGTTGTGTTATAGGAACGGGACAATGAGCTATTTCCTGCACTTAGGGCAGGAGGAATATTTATAACTCCCTGAGCTACTGGAAAAACTTTCTGGGGACTCAAAGCGGGTTTGTGTATCACCAGATGGGGGCCAGTACATAAAAATGCTGACTGTTAGGGCTTATCTGGCGGGGGGTGGGGGGAATAATAAGGTTTGTGACACAATTACATTATTCCCACTCCCCGTCCTCTGTTCGATGTTACATTTACAAAAATAAGAGGTGACCTAATGCCTCGCAATGAGCCGGGCAGGCCTGAGCCAGAGGGCTTTACAGGCACTTAAGCACACACCCCAGTTCACCCCGGTTCATCTAGTCCTGTATCCAGGGGTCTTCATCCAGATTTTGCTCCAATACTGCCCTCTGGTGGCTAAAAGATCCACATCCCAACTGCTTCCCAGGGACAAGCTTGTATTCATTCCTGCATCCATCCATCCTGTTGACAGACACCTATTCAGCACAGTGATAGGGTGAACAAGACAGACTCCCTGCCGTGGAACTTACATGCTAGTACGAGAGTGAGATATTATTCAGTGGTTGTCCAACTGATTACTCAGTAATCACTCAGCAGTGGGGCAGGCGCTATGAATAGGTAGGAAAGTTTGCGTGCTGGGTGGATGGGGGCTGGTGTAGGGAAAGCCTGTGGGACAAGGTGGGGAGGGACGGGGGGGCTGATCCTCAGAGCAGTGGGAGACCCTAAAGGGTTTCAAGGGAGGGTGGCGTGTTCAGGTTTGGATTCCAAGATTCTTCCTTCAGCTGCTGGGTGGGGGACGGAGGAGAGGGGGACAGGAAGGGATAAAATGAGACCCTAGGAAGCTGTTACCATCGCCCAGCGCAGGGATGGTGGTAGCAGGAACTAGAAGCAGCCCGTGAAAAGCTGTATTGAGAAATCCACTTGAAAATGAGTGGGGAAAGGAAACCAGCTAAACGTCAAACTGCACTTTTAGCTGCCCCTCTGATCGCAAGAAAAGAGCAGTAAGGGGGCAGAGCGGTGCTGTGTAATGCCAGCATGGTGACTGTTCTTTCTCATGAAAGTAAACCTGTAGTATTTATAGAATTCCCAGTTCTTTCTCATTATAAAGCCCAGAAACCCTGTTGGCATTTTAATAGAAATACTCAGTGTAATACATATTTGATTAGAATGCATTGTCCCCTGGAGAAAATCAGGCACCAACTTCAATGGAATTTAGCTCACGATTTGTCAGAGTCAGCTGACCTGGTGTAACGTGTATAAGACATCCTGACTCTTGAAACCATAAACAAAAATAGATTTGAATTTTGTTATTTCTTAGGGATCCAGGTAGTCTTGTATAAATGGACTAGGGTTGTAAACTGAAATGTGATCATTCATAAAATAGAGGTGTCGACCTAAAATACATACATTTTAACAGTCCTCTCCCGGTCCATTAGCCTCCCAGAAATACATGTTTATAAACATCACGTGATACTTGGGACAAATGTCCACAGCATCACTGAGGTGGCACCAGGGTGTCAGTAGTAGCAGGAAATATCATTTGGGGGTCGCTGGGCGATGGGATATGCTAGTGAAAATGAAGAGCATGACCCCAGTGCTCCCAGAGGCCTTGCCCGGGGTGGGCATCAGGGCGGGGGTGGGGCACCAGGCAGCACACTCCAGCCCTGCTCATGTCCCTCTCGGCCTCCTCCCAGGCCAAGTCTTCCGAGGAAATGGGCCACTGGCTAGGCCTCCTGCTTTCTGAGTCGGGCTCCAAGACAGACCCAGAAGAATTCACTTACGACTACGTGGACGCCGACAGGGTTTCCTGTATCGTAAGCGCCGCCAAAACCTCTCTGCTGTGAGTATTAAGGGGCCTCCTGCTTTGCACCCTCCCACTCCCAGCTATGCTTCTGGACCGAGGCCCAGGCTGGCCTCTGGTGGTCAGTCGAGCAGGGTGGCAGCTGGGAACTCAGGGTGGGCCCTGTTTTACTCACCAGCAGGCAGGCCAGGGCCAGGGAGCAGCCCTGCAGGAGGCCCAGCAAAGAGCTGAGCCAGGCCTCTGGCCCGGAGGCAGCCACAGCATCCCTGGCTCTCATGAGACCCTGGCTCTCATGAGACGCTATCCAGCTCCTGAAGGCAGAGTTGGCGCCTTTCCTGGCCTTCTGCTTTCCTTTCTGTGGAGGTAACACTTTCCCATGGCTCCATCGCTGGGTCCCAGCACACCCTGGAATAAGCAGGGCAGGGGTAGTACTTCTGCTTCCTAGATGAGCAAACTGGGACTCGGGGAGAAGTGCTCCTGGGTTGGGGGGTAGAAGTAGCATGGGTAGAAGCCGGCTGAGCCAAAATGGGGAAGGCATCTGGCCTGTGCTGGCCAAGTGTATTGTGAAGATGAAGCGAGAAAGGGTTTTGCTGTTGTTGGAAGGAGATCCTGAAAAGGAGAAATCAGGGCGAGAAGATGGCAAAAGGATTCCAAGAGGAGGGGTATGGGGTGAGGGAAGTTCGTTTTTCGGGAAGAGAAATTTGGAACCAGGAGTTCTAGTAAGAAGGCCCTGGGGAGAGAGGGAGGGGGTACCCCTAAATAAATGAATTTGTTTTAAAATGAGGTCAGAGCTAGTCCCCAGGCCGCCTGCACTGCCCACAGATTTCTCTGCACCTCTCATTGTTATGACTCCTTGGAGACTGGTGGCTTTTAGCACCCTGTCCTGAATCCTCTTTTGCCGTGTCTTCCAGACTGATGCAGAGAAAGTTCTCAGAGCCGAACACTTACATTGACGGCCTGCCCAGCCAGCATCACCAGGAGCTGCTGTATGATGACGTGGAGGTGTCAGAGCTGATGGCTGTGGTAAGGGCGCCAGCTGGGCTGCAGCCTGGGGCTGCCCATCCTCTTCCTGCCAAGCCTCAACGCCAGAGATCGTTAGATGGTCCCTAAGAGGAATGGACTCCAGGTCACCCTCAGGGCCATCAGTGCAGAAACCGAGGCGCAACGAGGTCATATTTTGTATAGTGGGGCGGTGCCATCTGCCTGGCTTGGGGACTTGTCTAGATAAAACAGCTGGTTAACCACCCTGGTCAGTGCCAGGGGTGCAGGGTGTGGCAGTGGGAATGGGGAGCAGCAATACCATTAGCCTTTTTTAAAAACTGAAGTAGAGCTGATTTGCAATATTATATTAGTCTCAGGTTTACAGCACAGTGAGTCAGTATTTTTATAGATTATATGCCATTAAAAGTTATTACAGGGGCTTCCCTGGTGGCGCAGTGGTTGAGAGTCCGCCTGCCGATGCAGGGGACACAGGTTCGTGCCCCGGTCCGGGAAGATCCCACATGCCGCGGAGCGGCTAGGCCCCTGAGCCATGGCCGCTGAGCCTGCGCGTCCAGAGCCTGTGCTACGCAATGGGAGAGGCCAAAACAGTGAGAGGCCTGCGTACCGCAAAAAAAAAAAAAAAAAAAAAACAAAAACCACAAAATAATGGCTGTAATTCCCTGTGCTGTACAATCTATCCTTGTTGCTTATCAACATAGCAGTTTGTATCTCTTTTATACATAGCAGTTTGTATCTCTTAATCCCATACCCCTATCTTGCCCTTCCCGCCTACCCTCTCCCCACTGGTAACCACTAGTTTGTTCTCCATATCTGTGAATCTGTTTGTTTTGCTATATTCATTTGTTTGTATTATTTTTTAGATTCCACATACAAGTGGTATCATACAGTATTTGTCTTTCTCTGTCTGACTTATTTCACTAAGCGTAATATTCTCTAGGTTCATCCATATTGCGGCAAACGGCAGAATTCCATCCTTTTTTATGGTTGAGTACTATTCCGTGTGTGTGTGTGTACAGACACACACATATATAATACACACACACATCTTCTTTATCCATTCATCTGTTGGACACTAGGGCTGCTTCCGTATCTTGGCCACTGTAAATAGTGCTGCTGTGACACGGGGGTGTGTCTAGCTTTCCAAATAAGTGCTTTTGCTGGATATATACCAAGGAGTGGAATTGCTGGATCAGATGGTAGTTCTATTTTACTGTTTTGAGGAACCTCTGTACTGTTTTCCACAGTGGCCGCACCAGTTTCCATTCCCACCAACAGTGCACAAGGCTTCCCTTTTCTCCACATCCTCGCCAACATGTTACTTATAGGCTTTTGAAGACAGCCATTCTGACAGGTGTGAGGTGGTAACCTGTGGTGGTTTTGATTCGCATTTCTCTAATAATTAGTGATACTGAGCATCTTTTCATGTGCCTGTGAGCCATCTGTATGTCTTCTTCGGAAAAATGTCTGTTCAGGACTTCTGCCCGTTTTTTTTGTTTTTTTTTTTATATTGAGTTGTATGAGCTATTTATATATTTTGTATATTAACCCCTTGTCGGTCATATCATATGCAAATATTTTCTCCCATTCCATAGGCTGTCTTTTCATTTCATCAGTGGTTTCCTTTGCTGTGCAAGAGCTTTTAAGTTTAATTAGATCTCATTTGTTTATTTTTCCTTTTATTTCTTTTGCCTTAGGAGACAGATCCAAAAAAATATTGCTATGCTTCATGTCAAAGAGTGTTCTGCCTATGTTCTCTTCTAGGAGTTTTATGGTTTCAGGTCTCACACTGAGGTCTTTAATCCATTTGGAGATTATTTTTGTATGTGGTATGAGGAAATGTTCTATCTCATTCTTTTACGTGTAGCTGTCCAGACACCATTAGCCTTTGAGGCTCACAGCTGAGGGGGAATAAGCCCCCTGACAGCAGGTTTGCTTCACTGGACATGGGCCTCTGTGCTAAGGGCTTCTGTGGGTTATCTCATTTAATCCCAGCCACCTGATAGGGAGGTACTACTAGTCTCTTCTCTCCAGATGAGGAAGTGAGGTCGGGAAGATGAAGTACTGTCTCCTGGGTCCCCCAGCTCTTGAATGGCAGACCCAGGCCTTCTAACTCCAGCTCAGCAGGAGGCTCCCTGGGAAGGAGGCCCTGCGAACTCCGGCACAAGGAAGGGGACAGGAGACCTGCGGCAGGGCCCCCTCCAGAGCCCAGGGAGCCGAGGCAGTGGAGAAAGCCCCCTGTCTCTTCCCTATGCAGGGGGAGGCCCCTGAGGAAGCTGTTCCTGCGACAGATGCTCCGAGGGAGCCTGACCCCGACCGCGTATACCTGGACCTCACGCCCGTCAAGTCCTTCCTGCACGGCACCGGCAGTGCACAGGCCCGGGCCCCCTCGCCCACGCTGCCCCAGCCGGACCCTCCGGCCGAGGCCCTCCCTGCAGACCTGAACCCCACCCCCGATGAGCCCCTCATGGTGTCTCCAGAGAACCCCGAGTTGCAGGTACAGGGGGTCCCCCAGCAGGTGAGCTGGCCTCACCTTCTGGGGTGTCTCAGCCAGCTGGGTCCTGTTTGCTTTCTCCCAAAGCAGATGCAGCAGGAGAGTCAGGAACCTGAGGAGCCTTCCCTGGGAATCACGGCAGTCAAAATCCAGACTGAACAGCAGAAGATCTCCTTCCCACCGAGCTGCCCTGACACTGTGCCCGTCGCCCCAGCCGGGGCCAGCCCACCTGTGAAAGACAGGTTGAAGGCAACCAATGCAGGTGCCTGTGCTAGATTAAGAGTTGAAGGTTTTGGAAAGGGCTTGGAGAAGTTAGCCCAATTCCCTCCCTTTCAGATGAGGAAACAGAGGCTCAGAGAGGTGAAGGACTTGCCCAACGTCACACAGCAAAGAAAGGGTGGGCCCCATTTCCTTTTCTGTCCGTGCTAGGCTGGCCTGGCATCCAGCTCTAATCTACTGCCAAAGCCCTGGGTTCCGTCTGAGCCTGTAGAGTGGGGTGGGACAGCCCTCAGGGGCCAGCCTGGCTGACCCAGGGGTTCCCCTCTCTGGGTCTGTAGAGATCAAACTTGGCAAGAACAGGACAGAAGCCGAGGTGAAGCGGTACACAGAGGAAAAGGAGAGGCTTGAGAAGAAGAAGGAAGAAATCCGGGGGCACCTGGCTCAGCTCCGGAGGGAGAAACGGGAGTTGAAGGAGACCCTGTTGAAGTGTACAGGTAAGGGCCCCCCCTCAGCAGAGAGGGCCCGTGGAGGGGCCTGGGCTTTCTGGGGGAAGAATCCGGATCTGCACCTGGGCTGCAGCCCCGTCAGCCTTTGGCACACAGGTGGATGCTCCCTGCAAAGTCCTCCCCCTCCAGCCTGTCTGAAGGGCCACTGTCCTGTACCAGGACGTAGCTGGAAAAGCTGGTTAAAGGAGGAAATTCTCTAAAAATTGTGTTTAGACCTGAAGTGTTTGATTCTCACTTCAAACAAATGAATATTTTTTGGCCCATCTTCTAAAGCAGTGCCAAGGTCTTTTCCTGCCATCTGGGCTGGCTGACGGGAGCCCCGGGTCATGGTTTCCACAGTAACCACATCTCTAATGCCTCATCTGGTCATTTCTTTACAAGCACCGTGAGTTTGTGTTCATTTTAAAGAAATCTGAATCCTTGTAGATTATTTTCCAAGTCATCTTCATATGCTTTCTTCAGCCGTTTCCTAGCACCTTGTCTCTCCCAAGACCTTTCAGCAGCATTTGACTTCGTTTTCAGAGTAGTAACTCTGGGCTCATTTAATATTTAAACTGCAGACTCACACTAACAGGTTTGGGCTCTCTGGGAAGCTTATAACATGACTGGTGGTGGAAGGTCATGGGGGCACAAAGTGACCCACTGTTTTTTTTGTTTTTGTTTTTTTAATATTACATCTTTAGCGAGAGAGAATTCACAGACCATACGATAACCCATTTACAGGTGGTTTTCAGTATATCCACAGAGCTGTGCAGCCGTCACCACAGTCAATTTCAGAACACTTTCATCACTCCTCCTCATTAGCAGGCGCCCTTGCTTAGGATTCTATATTGAACACGTCCATCCTTTCCTCTAGCACAGCGAGCTCCTAGGGTTGACTCTTCGTAAGTCGTCATTTCTTGGTGCTGTAGGACCAACCTGAGAACTCCAGGGTGAAGAGGGAAGCATAAAACAGGGCTGAGAAGGTGCCAGGGCTGAGGACCACTGCTCCACTAGGCCCAGGGAAGCAGCACACGTGCCAGAAGGATGGAGGGAACCATGTGGGGCAGGCTGCAATGGCCCAGCCATCCTCCAAGGGTCATTAATAAAGCTCCTCTGTCCCTTTGGGGTCGCTGTCACAATAGCAGGTATCGAAACAACTGAGAGTCTCTCTACCAGAAGGGACTTAGGTTCAGGCCCTCTTGTGAAGGCAGAGCTCTTCTTCTGGGGCCTCCCCAGCCTTTGTGGAGTGCGGACACAGGACCTGGGCTGGGAGGCCGCCCATCACCCAGAGGCCCATCCCAGCCCTGAGTGTTGGAGCCAGACCTGTGGTCCGGGGCCACTTGGGGTCCTGTTCCAGCAGAGCGTGTGCAAATCCTGCCTTCCCCCTGGTGGGGCTTCTGGCTGAAGGGCTGTTTGTTCCCTGCAGCCGACTGGCTTCTCTCTGCAGACAAGGGGGCGGCGGCCAGCCTGGAGGAGAAGCTGAAGGAGATCGACGAGGAGTGCAGGGTGGAGGAGCGCAGGCGCGTGGACCTGGAGCTCAGCATTGTGGAGGTGAAGGACAGCCTGAAGAAGGCCGAGGCCGGGCCCGTGACGCTGGGCACGACTGTAGACACCACCCACCTGGAGAACGTGAGCCCCCGGGTGAGTTCGGGAGCCGCGTTCCTCTGAGCTGCTTGCAGGGCCTCCTGGACTGGGCTTGGGGACTGGGTCACCCTCCCCGCCCTGAACTCAGCCCTCCGTCTCTCCTGTGACCACAGCCCAAAGCTGCCACCTCGACTCCTGCCCCGGACTGTACCCCAGTCAACTCCGCAACTGCGCTCAAGAACAGGCCTCTGTCGGTCATGGTCACGGGCAAAGGCACCGTCCTCCAGAAAGCCAAGGTAAGCGGTCATTCCCAGCCTCCTTCAGGGCCACGGGTGGACAGCAGAACTGTCACTATGGTGGGGGCCCCCTTCTGATGCGGGTGGCACTTTCCTGCTTCGAGTGAGGGCTCTGCTCTCAGCAGGAAGAGGCAGGGGCTAGGGCTTTGCTGTGTCTTTGGCACTGACCAACCAGAAAGGTGCTTGCGCTTGGTTCAGTGTCCTTACGAGTCAGCCTGAGGGCGCGTGAATCCCTGCACTGCCCGCCACGTGATTATCAGTAGAGTCCGGGGGAGAGCTGCAGTTCAGAGACAGACAGACTGGGGCTGGACAGTTTTCCAATTAAAAAAAACCTCAGTGACTCTGAAGGACTTCTGCCATGAAAACCAAAGCAGCAGATTCAGACAGGTGTCGGATTTGCCTAAAGCCATCCGGCCAGCTGGTGGCAAAGGCTCAGTAAAAGGCGTAAACAGGGAGCAGATGCCCATTGCTGGGTTTTTGCCTGAGGGCTAGACAAAAAGTGTTATGAATCCTTGACTTATTTATACAGTCAAGAGCATGCCTAGAGCTGCCTGTGTTTTTGGCAAACTCTGCTCCTTATTTTTATCCTGCTTATTACCTGCAGGAGATATTTTGAGGCACCTGCACCAATGACTAAGTATTAAATCCATGCAAGCACACGAGCCACTGCCACGGCAGACATCACTCACCTCCCTCTCTGCTGCTCCAGGGCCTCAGAAATCTCTGAACACGTGCTCCAAGCAGTGGGGGACACGCAGGGGTTGAACCTTACTTAATTGGCGTCTCTGTTCCTAGCTTCTTCTAGGAATATGTAGGTTGGCTACGGAGGATAACTAACTTTCTTCTTTTGGGGGGACGCTGGTGTTTGAATGGTACCCTAGGAATGGGAGAAGAAAGGAGCAAGTTAGGAAACAAACTTCATCTAGAGACTCTCCTGTCAATATGGACCTTGGTGACAATCCTACTTCGTTACAGTCTTCGTTAAAGCAGCAACTCTGTAAAAGGGTGAGTCTGTTTACAAGAAAAAGGAAGGACTGGGGTTCTATGAATGGAAAACTTCGGCTAAGAGGAGGCTCTGTCCCTTTGCAGAGCCAAAGGAAGTAATACGACAACAACAACAAAAAAGACTTGTTTGGAGACCTAAGTCTATTGGTTGTAAACATTACATTGCTGTATTTAGGGGTATTCTGTGTTTCTTCCTTGAAGTTTTCAGCAATTGCTTTATCAAGCTTTTTAAGTGAAAAGATTCCGATGTGGAGACTTTGGTGGAAGAGAAATTAAGGTAGCAGGGCCCTGTCCCACTGGTCACATGGCTTTGGTGATTCAGAAGGTCTAAACCCCTATCTGATTCTTAGCAGCGTCAGGGGTTAAACTGTCCTTGTCTTCAACTGTGTAAAGCCATCTATGGTTTTTTGAGAAATGGTAACGGGGAAAACATTTGGGACCAAGCTGAGGCACTGTTCCCAGTAAATTAAAGACTTTTTTCAGGCTAAAGCAGGCCAGAACCAATTGCTTTTAAATAAAATTTTAAGTGATGCTGTATTACATAGGAAAAAAAATGTTTCAAATCCTGTAATTTAGAACAGTGAAAAGTGTCTGTTGAGATTTAACTGACATTTTACATTACCATAGAAACAAGATTACCCTGTGTTTACAGATTCAGTCCTGCGGTGAGGCGATTTCTAAGAGAAGAGTTACTTAGTATAATGTTCTCTTAGTCCCTGTTTTTTTAAGTTGTGCTCTATGTCCAGGCCCTTTCCAAGAAAAAAGGGGCGAGTTTTGTTTCTGGTGGTCTCTTAAAATTGGCAGTGCTGTTCTTTGTGTTGCCCGTTCTTCTCTGCTGATGGCACTGGTTAACACAGGTTGGAACACATTGGTTAACACAGGTTGGAACATTTCACCTGTCATCTCTCAGCCTCATTTCTGGGGGTTCTGAATCAGAGTTCTTTAACACTGGTTCCTAAGAACTAAAGGTCTTTTGAGTCTTATTGTCTTTCTAATCCCAGGGCATTTATTTCCTTTGTCATAAACACTTGGTGTCCCAAGTGGTGAGTTAGTTGTTTTTGTTTTTTTTTAATAAAATGTTAATTGTATTTTGGATTTTCTTGTATTTCATGGAACGACATGGGGCAAGGCCTGGTAGATTTCTACTTCAAGGGGGGAAACATCATGGTTATTTATTCAAACTATGTGCAGTAAAAACTGGTAGAACTACAAGGTGGGATCTTAGCAGGAGACTTTAAGCCTCCTTAAATCAAGTAGCATAGGTAAGGCTGAAAGAAGATTTTAATAGTAAAATTAACACAAGGGAAACATCTTTAGAGGCTGATCATACATGAGTGACTGAAAATCAGTACTCCTAGAAATTAAACACACTCCTAAATAATTCTTGGGGGAAAAAAAGGTACCGGTACTTGGAAAGTTGCCTTAGTAGTAATAATTAAGAAAGTTTATAGCATAAACATGCTGGTTTTAAAAATGACAAAACCAGGGCTTCCCTGGTGGCGCAGTGGTTGAGAATCTGCCTGCCAATGCAGGGGACACGGGTTCGAGCCCTGGTCTGGGAGGATCCCACATGCCATGGAGCAACTGGGCCCGTGAGCCACAATTACTGAGCCTGCGCGTCTGGAGCCTGTGCTCCGCAACAAGAGAGGCCACGATAGTGAGAGGCCCGCGCACCGCGATGAAGAGTGGTCCCCGCTTGCCGCAAATGGTGAAAGCCCTCGCACAGAAACAGAGACCCAACACAGCCAAAATAAATAAATTTTTAAAAAATGACAAAACCAAACTTCTGGCTCATTGAAAAGGCGAATACAATAAAAAGACAGCCTAGGGCAGTATTAAATGGCAGAACTGAAAAGGAGGCCTTAAGTACAGATACTGACAAGACTTTTTAAATTACAAGAAAACACTATGAATATAGCAGCTTGAAAGTCTGAGGACTATATATTTTTCATTTTAGAAAGTTAGAATTTTGTATCAGAGCTATGCTAACACATATTGCAAAAGAAAATCTCATTTTTGAACACAGGTGAACAAAAGCTTTAAAGTATTGGCAAATGAAATTCAACAGTGCTTAAAGAATCAGGTATTGCGACCAGACAGCACTCATCCAAGAAATCAAAGGTGATTCAACAACTGAAAATATACTAATGGGTAATTTATCATATTAACCGATTAAATGTGAAAAAACATCTTCTGAAAGGAAGCAGAAAAGCAAACCACAAATCTCAACACTCCTAATAAACACTCTTTGTAAGCTAGGAATAGAAGTAAACATTCCTTATCAAGTAATCCACAGAACATAATGATGAAAGAGTCCCTTCAAGTCAAGAACCAGATGCATGCTGTTACCACTACTTCTTAAAACATTATTCTGAAGGTTCTAGACAATGCAAGATGACAAGAAAAAGCAGTATAAGATTTCAAAAGGAAGAGACAAACCTGTTATTACTTGTAAATGCTGTCTTTCTAAAAAAGCAAGAGAATCAAATAATCAACTATTAGAACTAGAGCATTTAGCAAGTTGGCTGGAATAAGGATCATTTGGAGAAAATAAAAGATTTATGATCTATCTGCAGTGTTTAAGTTTTTCCAAGGAGAACATATTTATATATTACATGTGTAATTAAAAGCCAATTTATTTTAAAAGAAAGAAAAAGGGTTGGCTGGGAAAAGATCACTTAAAGCTATCTTGTTAGGAATTCCCTCTGCTGCTACTGGGACCCCCAAAGGGTTGAACTCTTCACACCTTCACTAGAAAAGGTAAAGTTTCAAGGGCTGGGACCTAAAAATAGAAACAGTAAAGCCTTTGATATGTAAGCCCAGGGACCACAGTTTTGTGGGGGGTTTTTTAAGTCCAATTCAAATGGGACATCAAAATGTCAGCCCTGAACCAGACAAAAAGCCTACACTATGAAACGATTAAACTGCTGTTAATATAACGGGGTTCATGTAAATTCAGACATCACCTATCAGCACCTGCCAGGTGGGCATGTGACCCTGCTCTGATGTCACCTTCTGCCAAGGTAAAAGCAATAATAGGAATGAAAATATCCCTTGAACGCAAATGACTGTCATGCACAGTGCTCGGCACACAGGACTTTTTAACGTCTAACAGAACCATGGTGATGACCTTTCGAGTACTTTTCTTGCACCAGAAATCCTAAAGTTCTTAAAGCTAAGCAATACTTAAACCAAGGTAGCCTTGGATGTTTGCCTATAAAACATCACATTAAGGTATTTACTTTAAAAATAAAAACTGTGATAAAGTATTTGGATTTAAATCAGAGATCTACAAAGGCTTCTACCAAAAACCCAACTCCCAACACGACCACCCAGGGGGAGAACTGATTCCTAAATACTGTGGGGTAAGAAAATATCTGGTTCACCAAAAAAATATTCCAACTAAGCCTCTTTGCCGTTTAGGTACAAAAACTCCTGTTAAATAAATAACCAACATTATACTTCTTGAAATATTCCTTTCAAAACCAGGTCTAAAAAAATAAAACCCTAAAACCAAGCAGAATAAGATCTACGCCTAAAAAAACAAAACTCCTCCAAGTTTCTTTGTTCTATATTGATTGAGTTTAAGAATTCTACTCCTTTTTGCCCCCAAAGGGCAGAGTAAGACAAGTACTCAAGAAACACCCTGCAATTAACCCTCCTAAGTAAAGGCTGAGAAGCCCCTCGAAGGGAATGCTGCCCAGTGCCCAGGCCCAGCTCACGTGGCCCCTCGAGACCAGGGCCGTTTGCACACTCAGCCCCTCCCCCAAGGCCAAACAGCTGGTGAATCAGTCACCTTCCAGCCTGGGGCCTTTCCAACTCCCACACGCGGATCCAGTCACCAAAACAAGTCACAAATGCCACTCAGGCCCCTTTTCAAACTAAGAATGAATCCCTCTGGGACATCTTAGGAGAAAGATGTGTTTCAAGGTCCACCCTTTGTCTATCTTGAAGTGCCATCACGTCGGGGGTCCGAGTGACACTCTCATCACTGCCTTCTGTTGGGCATGACTGTCCCAACAACGTTCTACTTAGCATCTGTTGTGGGAAAAGTGAGCTTCAAACAGGCCATCAAAAGTCTCCAGTTTCCTCTCAGGGGAAAGGTGGCAGATGACACCAGCTCAGCAGCGCTCAACTAGGTCAGCAGAGTAAGTACTTACACCTGGAGAATTTTCAACATCGTCGTTAGGGGCGGTATCGTCCCTAGGCAGCACCGTCTGCAGCTGGGCCCTCTCTTCTCCCCGGGTCAGGAGAGTGGGCAGGAGGGTTCTGGACAGGGCTGAAGGCAGACACGCAAAGGACCGCACGGGACCGGATGCTCCGCTGAGGGCAGGCCCCCTGTCAGCGCCCAGGGGACCCAGGCCTTCTTGGTAGCGGCTGGGAGGGGGGCAGCTGCTGCCCTCCTGCAGGCTTTCGGCTGGGGCCACGTGCCTTGGGGCATCTCCTCTCAAGGTCCCTGGGAGAGAAGTGAACTTTGAGGACACGAGGAGTGTCTGAGTCCTCTTCTCAACCAACCAGCTGCCTCACGGGCCCCATCATGCCTTGCTCTTACTCCGTAAGCCAAGGAAGAGGTGCCCCTCACATCACGCCTGGTATCAGGAAGCCCACCTCTACCAGTGCCTGAAAACCCAGGGCTCCAGTGGGAGTCATCCTCTGGCTGCCGCTGCTGTTCTAACTTTAAATTCATGAACGGCGGCCACAGGTGGGCCAGAGTGCTACCCAACAGTCATTCTCTCCGTGCTCACTCTGGGCCCCTTCTCTCCTAGACAGTTACTAGTTCTCTTCCCTCCTCAACCTCCACGTCTCCCCATCCTCTCAGCTGAGCAAACAGAAACGCTCGGGGGCTTCCCTGGTGGCGCAGTGGTTGAGAATCTGCCTGCTGATGCAGGCGACACGGGTTCGAGCCCTGGTCTGGGAGGATCCCACATGCCGTGGAGCAACTGGGCCCGTGAGCCACAACTACTGAGCCTGCGCATCTGGAGCCTGTGCTCCGCAACAAGAGAGGCCGCGACAGTGACAGGCCCGCGCACCGCAATGAAGAGTGGCCCCCGCTCGCCACAGCTAGAGAAAGCCCTCGCACAGAAACGAAGACCCAACACAGCCAAAAATAAAAATAAATTAAAAAAAGAAGGCTCAGGGCTTCCCTGGTGGCGCAGTGGTTGAGAGTCTGCCTGCCAATGCAGGAGACACGAGTTCGGGCCCGGGCCCGGGAAGATCCCACATGCCGCGGAGCGGCTGGGCCCATGAACCATGGCTGCTGAGCCTGTGCATCCTGCGTGTCCGGAGCCTGTGCTCCGCAACGGGAGAGGCCACAACAGTAAGAGGCCCGTGTACCGCAAAAAAAAAAAAAAAAAAAAAAGAAGAAAGCCCAACATTTAAAAAAAAAAAAAAAAAAGAAACGCTCGGAACTCCCACCGACTTCCTCCGCCACATCTACCCACCCACCTGTACCCGTGCCACATCCTCTGCCTGCCTTTCAGTTAGTCTGGGTCCACTTGCTCCTCTCTCCCAGTCATCAATTTTCATGAATCAGAGTGTGTCCTCAGCACCATCTAATACACTTCGTGCTGTACTTATTTGCTGTCTCCCTCACTAGAATGGAAGCTCCACGAGATCAGAGATTCTCTGTCCTGCTTCCTGCTCTGTTCCCTGCACCTAGAATAGCACCTGGGATGTAGGAGGCACCCACTGAATGTTTCCTGCATGAACGAACAAATGATTGATTCCTTCCACTGATGCCCTAGAGCCTCCTTTGGCTGTGGCCCTGGGGCTCAGGACTCAGAACAGCACCCCAGCTCCCAAGTGCACGCAGGCACCCCACTCACGGCTCTCGCAGTGCGGGCCCTCCCGGCCATCGCGGCACCCGCAGCGGTAGCTCCTGTTGTGCAGGACGCAGGTGCCCTCGCTCATGCACGGGCTGGGTGTGCAGAGGTTAACTGGCCGCTTGGCTTCTGCCAGGGAGCACGTGCCAGCAGACCCAGCCTGGGCTGGCCCCGAAGACCCCGCTCGAAGGAAGCCCAGTACAGAGGCGAGGCCACCAGAACAGAGTCTTACGCATCTTAGTGGCTCCGTGGGCCTTTCAGCTAC